AAATTGTTTTTACTTGTAATTGAGGGAAAACACTATTCAAAAAAAGAGTTGCCTGTGACACTGAGAATTTAAGAGACTTGCCCAAGCTAGTATCTACAAGGGTCATGACTAAACCGAGTTCTGACTCTATACTATGCTATTCCCTAGTCATTCAAACTTACTTTCCATTCTTCCTCAAATCTACCTTTCATTGTTGTCTGACCATGCTCTTTAATATCTTCCAAACATAACTGTTTATTCTTCCACATCTTTGTTCATGCTGTTCCCCCGATTGAAATTCCCTCCTCTTTCCTTCAACCTAAATTAATCCTACCATCCACCCTTCAGAGCCCAGTTTACCTCCTATCTCTTCCATGAAGCTGTCTTCTCCTTCTCACCAGCCAGATTGTAATCTCTTGGGCAGGAATGATGTCTTTGAGTTTCTTTATAATCAAAACAAGGCCAGGAGAGCTCTGAGGACTTGGTGGGTTTCAATAATTATATATTGATTAATGCCATCCAACATCTCAAAATACCGATAAATGATATAACGTACACCATTTAAAATGATCATTTAACATAGAAAAGGACCAGGTCTTTAAACAAATTATATAAAGACTCATAAAGTAAACTTAATGATCCCTAGAAGCAAATATATCACATCTCTCAACTGTTGGATGATTCATGAAAATCACCTAATGGTCCATAAAGGTTTTGCCTTTTGTGTTTTGCAAGGCATAATCAGTTGTGGCTTGGACTCAGTCAAAAGAGTTAGTGTGTTCTAGTGAAAAGAGTACCAAGATTTGAGTCAGAAACCTGGTTCGAAGTTCTAGTTTCAGCACTTCCTAGCTAAGTGACTCATTAATTTGCTTAATTTCTCTGAAGGTCACTTTTTTCCTTTCTAAAATGGGTATAATATTTATATTTATATACCAGTAATTTATGTGTAATCTATTAATTACCTTTTTTGTAATTTATAATTCCCTATGTGTAATCCATACCCCATTATACGCCATTAATCTATGCGTAATCTATACCCTATTATATACCAGTAAACTATGTGTAATCTATACCCTAATCTGGCCCTAGACACAATGAATACAGGCATAATTTTTCTTTCGGGGTCAAGGATAAGGAACCTCTCATAAAGTCTCTCTGGCTCATGTTCTTACTCAAGGAAACCATAGGAATGTGAATTTATGACTCATTTTTCTCTTCCTTACTTTGGAAGCACTCAAATAAGATATTAAATATAGAACAGATTTTATTTAACCCAACAAAATGTATAGAAAGGGCTCATATCCAAGCCCCATGACCATCAGGAAAACTCTCCTTCCTTTTATGGAAGGTACCAAGCAACTCTCGTTTCTGGTAGCTACTATCTTCCCTTAGGAAATATATAGTTCACATGACTCACATGAGCAGAAAAGGCAGTACTAGGTAGAGTCGAGATGACAGATTATAGGCTGGGACTCAGCCAAATTCTCCCAACATTCCCCTCTAAACATAAAGTAGCACTTCAAATAAAATTTTGGAGCTGCAAAGCCAACAGTCAGAGGAAGACATTTTTCTAGCCTAAGACAACTTAGAAAGTCCACAGCAGAGGTCTGTAACACTAGGGTGTGAGGCGGCCCTGAATGGGGCAGAAGTACCAGTGGTGGACCTTGGAGGTGGCCAGATAGCAGTAGAAGCAGCAACAGCTTTGGATGTTCTCAGTCCAGAGGCAAAAGGTGTCAAACAACTGGTCAGAAAAGTATTATAGAGGCCTCTTTGCTGGCACTGGGTGCATCTGGTGCTGATTGGCAACTCTGTTGTCCATAAGCAGTTCTGGGTCACAGTTCCAGAACAGAGAGGAGCTGTTGTGATCAGCAACTAGGGATCAGTGTCTCTGGTCACAGTTCCAAGGCCAAGAGGAACACTAGTACTTGTGGCTTCAGAGGAGCAAGAACCCTTCCTGAGTAAAGACAAGAATGCAGACCAGGAGAACAGTAACCACACCTCTCCCAAGATAACACCATCTTGGAAGTACTGAAAATGTGCCGACATTCACAACTATCTCTGAAAATAGCAGCATGAAAAAGTCTGAAGCTTGGCACAGTGCCTCTCCACCCCAAGGTGAGCAGAGCAGAACTTTAACATAAAGTTCATAGTCAAGAAGTGGCCTGGGAAAATGAGCAAACAACAACACCAAAAAAAAAAAAAAAAAAAAAAGAACTTAACTGTAAAAAGCTACTACAGTGGCAGGGAAGACTAAGATATAAACTTAGAAGACAGCAATGTGAACACAGACTCAAGCAAAACTTCAAAGAAAAATGATAATTGTACCCAAGGTCAGCAAGAATTCCTGGGAGTGATGCAAGAAAATTATGAAAAGAAAATTAACAACTTGGTAAAAGAGGCACACACACATGAAATACTGAAGAAAATATCACCTTAAAAAACAAAATTGGCTTAATGATAAAAGAGGCACAAAAATTCACTGAAGAAAAGAACTCCTTAAAAAGTAAAATTGGCCAAATGGAAAAAGAGGTATAAAAAGCTCACTGAGGAAAATAATTCCTTAAAAATTAGAATTGGGCAAGTGGAAGTTAATGATTCCATGAGACTTCAAGAAACAATAAAATAAAGCCAAGAGAATTTTAAAAATTCTGGAAATTTTAAAAAAACTGGAAAAACAACTGACCTGAAAAATAGATCGAGAAATCATTTAAGAATTATTGCACAATCTGAAAGTGATGATCAAAAAAGGAATCTAGTTATTATATTTCAAGAAATTATAGGGGCAGCTAGGCAGCACAGGGGATATAGTACTGGCCCTAGAGTCAGGAGGACCTGAGTTAAAATCCAGCCTCAGTCACTTGACACATACTAGCTGTGACCCTGGGCAAGTCACTTAACCCTGATTGCCTTGCAAAAAAGAGAAGAAAGGAAATTACAGAGAAAAACTGCCCCAGTGTCTTAGAGGGCCTTATCCAGAGGGTAAAATAGAAATTTAAAGAATCTACCAATCACCTCCTGAAAAAGATCCCCAAATGAAAATTCTCAGGAATATTATAGCCAAATTCCAGAGCTCCCAGGTTAGGGAGAAAATATTGCAAGCAGCCAGAAAGAAACAATTCAAATATCATGGAACCACAGTCAGGATCACACAAGATTTAGCAGCTTCCATGTTAAAAGAATGGAGGGCTTGGAATATGATATTCCAGAGGGGAAATTCTTGGATTACAACCAAGAATCACCTACTCAGCAAAACTGAATATAATCTTTCAGGGGAAAATGACTAATGAAACAGAGAACTTTCAAACAGTAGAGGTAAAGTCCATAGATTTTCTTCTCCCTATAATGGCTCTGTGCCTTGTTTTGGTTTAATTTGTTTTTTGTGTTTTTTTTTTTTGGTGTATGTGTTTTCCTGATGTGCCTATTGTTCTGATATTAATAGAGAAAAGGTATGTGGATTTTCTTCTCCCTGTCATAGCTCTGCTCCTAGTTCTGTGATTTTTTGCCATCTTTTTTTCATGCATTTCTCAAAAGGGGCCACATACATTGAGCACCTTTCTCTTGAGGTCCTGAGTGCAGCTTGGCATTCCCATATGTTCTCCTTGCTTATTCCCTCTCCCAATTGGAGCAGATGCCTTCTTGTATATGTACTCTAGCAGTCCACAGAGCAGAGAAGGGTACCTCACCACAATAAAGGAGGATGAGTTTACCTTCGTGTTGGCTGAATTCTTTATTGGGTTGTTATGAGTATCAATTGAGATAATATATGAAAACTCTATATAAGTGTTAGCTATTAATAATTAAAAGGAAAAAATTATTGAACCCTTGAGATGATACTTACAGGTGGCCTGACCCTCTTACACTTGACATGGTATCTAATCAAAAGATTGGCATGATATGAGCATGTATATGTAATATGCAGGCAACTTTTTTGGGGGGAATAATTAGGTTCATTTTTATTCCTTTGGTATGATCTAATGTTTTTATTTCTTTCCCTGCCTAGCCTGAAAGATAACAAAGAGTCCCTGGAGAAGAGAAACTAGTTTCTAGGTAGGGATTAGGAAAAAGAGATAGTTTTCAGTGTAGGAATCTGTGGATAAGGGAAAAGATTTGTTTCAACCAGAGAAGCAGTTTGGACATATACCCACGTACACACATATATACAAACACATGCACATATGTGCACCATATTTTCATATCATGTGTATTCATATATATCTGTGCACACATATATATGCATAAATGTGTAAGTGTATACACATAAATGTACATATAAATATACATATATGTATATACATATGATGATACCCTGAATACTCAATTTCATGGATACTAAAAGATTACCCCTAGAATGAACTCTTGCAGTCACTGGCTATTAGAGAAAAGTTGCTTGGATGACAATTTCAATATTTTTGTGATGTAGATGTAAAGTCGATACGGTTAGTTTTCTGCACTAACAGACATGAAAAACATTGCTCATCAGGGTTGACAGTTACACGCATTGTCCCAAAAGTCTTGGTGTAGTTTTAAGTTTTAATAACTTAAAGCCCTTTGCAAACTTCAAAGCACTATGCAGGTTTTACCAAAAGTGTTAGCGCAGTTTTAAGTTACCAAAGCTGAAAGTATAAAGCAAATTTTCTTTCCAAAGAGTAAATGATCATTGTATACAAGGAAAAGCAACTGAGCCATTGGACTGAAATGTGGTATATATGTAATAAGCCTGTAAAACTAGTCAATCAATGAGCAATTGTTAAGCACCTACTGTGTGCCAGGCACTGTGCTAAACACTGAGGTAACAAAGGAAAGCAAAAAATAGTCTCTACTCTCCAGGAGCTTATGGTCTAAAGAGGAGACAACCTATGAATTACTATGTACAAACAAGATACATACATGATAAATTGGAAATAATCTGCAGAGGGAAAGCACTAGAATTAAAGGGAATTGGGAGTGACTCAATGGGAAAGAATAGCCCTGGAGGTGACCAATTTTGTTGGGACTTATTTTAATAACTCTCATTTTTCTAGGAAATAGTAAAAAATCCAGAATTCATTCTTGGAGGAGCCACAAGAACTGACATTTGTCAAGGGGAACTTGGTGAGTGTATTTTCTTCTGCCGGCAACCCAAATTGCTGAGCTTAAGCAGCTTTGCCATTCTTAGCACATAATAATGAAAAGGGTGCCCACTGAGTAACAGGACATGTAGCAAGAGAAGACAGTGTGATGTAGCAGGGACAGAAAAGGAAATAAAGACAAAGGAGATGGGTTTGAATTCCAGCTCTGCTCTTTACAAGCTGGGTTGACCTGGTAAATCACTTCATCCCTCTAGGCCCCAGTTTCTTCATCTGTAAAAGGAGAGGGTTGGATCAGATGATCTCTAAGGTCCGTTTCAGCTCCTACGTCTAAGATTGAATAATCATTCATTTCTTCAGCATCCACTGGATTTGATGCTGATCAATATGGAATACATGTACCTGATCTAAACTACCTTGATAAATATTAATTTTCTCTTATCTATATAAAGCCACAAATTCCATTGAACGATGTGATCAGACAAAAGTGTATTTTTGAACATGCAAAGTTACGGCCTGGAATGGTGCCAAATTGTAAACCAATTCCTTACATTAAAAAAAATGGCTATTTCACAAATTCATTGTGGACTTGATCCTATATCAGTTTCTGTATATTCTAAATCAGAGATGTTAAATGCAGGAGCTAATATGGAACCCACAGTACTCCCCAATGAATCAGATTAACATATAATTGGGAAATATTCAGCAAACTAAATAAAAATACAATAGAACACAGATAATGTTAATATGGGGTTTTCTTAGTCGACATGCAGCTCACAAATTGTACTTATGTGAATCTTCTTTATAGTTGAGTTTGACACCACCATTTCTAAATCACCACCCCTACCCCCACTACCACTGTGCAATTTGCATTTACTACTAATGCCAGGTATATCTTCACTGGCACAATCAAAGCCAGTTATGTTCCTCATTCTTTTAATTTGTGACTGGACCAGTCCTGGAACCAGCTGCTACATCAAAAGTGACTTTGAAAACTCACTGGTGGAACAAAAGGAAAATACCTGAAAGTAGGAAAATAAATGATCTCTATTTTCCCTGTCCCCTGCTTCCTTTCATCAAAATTAAGGACAACACTGAGGCTTATACAAAGTGAAGCATTCTAAGCTACTTTGTATACTGGAAAGAATACAGGATGCAGAATCAGAGGACCCTGGTTCAAATTCCAGTTCTTCTACTTACTAGCTATGTGTCCTTGGGCAAATTACCTAACCTCTCAGGGCTTCACTTTCTTTGGGCCTACAAAAACCTTTCCAACTCTAACTCTGTGACTTTATGATCCTATATAACATTGCTTATTTCAGAATTCAGATAGGAACCAGACTGGAATTTAACATTTTACCATTTATGGAAAATGAGGTTTCCTAAGAAAATTAATAATCTAGAGAACAAGAACAAACTGTTTTCAAGGACTTTAGAGGGATATATATGTATAAATATAGACATACATACAACACAGAGAGGAGAGGGAGGGAGGGGGAAAAGGGGAGAGAGAAGGAGAGAAGGGGAGAGATAGGTAGAGAAGGGGAGAGAGACAGAGAGACAGAGAGACAAAGAGACAGAGAGAGACAGTGAGACAGAAAGAGACAGAGACAGAGAGAGAGTTACAGAGAGAGAGTTAGAGAGAGAGAGACAAAGAGAGAGGACAGAGAGAGACAGAGAGAGAGAGAGGGATGTATCAATTAATTGTGTGTCCTTGGGAAGTCACTTAACCTGACTGGGCCTAGGGGGTGGAAGGTGGGTGGGGAGAAAGTGGTGACTAGATCATCTCTAAGATTATTAGAGGCAACTAGGTGGCACAGTCAACAGAGTCCTGGGCCTGGAGTAAAAAAAAAAAGTTGAGTTCAAATTCTGACTCGGACACTTACTAGCTATGCAACATGAGGCAAGTCACTTAACCTTGTTTCCCTCAGTTTCCTCATCTGTCAAATGAGCTGGAGAAGGAAATGGCAAATCAGTCTGGCATCTTTGCCAAGAGAGCCCCAAATGGGGACACAAAAAGTTAGACATGATTAAAACAACACAACAACAACAACATTATTATATTTTTAGGTTCTAGATTCTTTCAGTTTCTGGCTATATCAGATCTACTTATTCATCAAAGTGTGTTCTGGAAGGATTTCTACTAAATTATGCTTTGTTAACCTAGTTTGACCTCTTCTACATGCCAAAATTGTATAAAATTGCATTTTTAAAAATTCTACAATTCAGACTTCCTACTAATTTGGACTTATCTCCTGAATTAATGAGATGTTAGACATTAAGTGGGAGGCCAGATCCTGCCCCTTTTTATTTCTTTCCTCCATGTCTTAGAAGTCCCTTAGGCCTCCAACTTTTTGAGTTGGAAAGGACCCTGAAGATCATCAAACCTCTACTTTTACAGCTAAGGAAACCAAGACCCAGAAAAATAAAGTGACGTGCTTAAAGTTCTACTGCTGCTTAGCAGCAAAGCCAGGATTAAAATCTGGAATTTATGACTTCCAATCCAATGTACTTGTAGAAAAGTGTTCCCAGGGATTTAAGAATTTAAAAAAAAGTTTCCTGGCTTATAACACTGGGTGGTACATATTTCTGAAATGACCAACCTTATATTTGCAGCTGGTACCACCATCTGGAAACAAAGTATGAGGTGTTGCCCATCTGATTCATTCGGTTGGACCAATCCAATTTCAAAGCAACTTTTTCTAGAATCTTGCAGAATGTGACATGAGCATCTGACTCACCTTCTCAACTGACAATCCAAGGTGTTTTTGCTTGAGTAGGCATGAGCTGCTTCACCCTGACTCAAGGAAATAACAAATTCTTTATTTGGCTAAAAATGAGCCAGCCTTTATAGATTGGAGACTGATAATTGGCTGTTACTCTCTTAACCATAATCTCCAACTAACCTTTAGCCATACCTCTCTCAAATTGAAGATGAAAGAACAGGAGTTTCTGCATTATCGCCTCCCTGTGACTACCACTCATCCCAAATAGGGTGGATATGAACACTAGCCTCTCTGCTGTCACTTATCTATAATTGCTAACTCAAATAGTGTGGGCATGGACACTAATCTTTGTGTTGACACCTCCCTGTGACTACCACTCAAATCAGGGTGCACATGAATTCAACCAAAGAACTACCAAAACACCAGAAAACTCCCAATGACTGAGCAGAGAATCTGTGTAGAGCAGCTGGAGGCCTGACTGATAGCCAAGGTCATAAACATTCTCTGACTTCTAAGGGCACAGGAAACCAGGAATGGGAATAACCCAGAATTGGGCTTCCTGGTTTCAGTTCTCGTTGTTTATCTTTTGCTTGTAAATCTTTCTCTAACAGGATGAGGTTTTCTCTGAAGTCTAGAGGGTATATGGACATCTGGCAAATGGTATATTTCTCAGAAATCCACACTGGGTCAAATGAGTGTAATTCTTCTCTCTCCACCCCCCCCACACAAGTGATGACTGCTGGCATGTTAGTGATTCCACTGTGACTATAAGGCAACAAACATCTGGATGAAAAATTGAGCCAGCAACCCATTCCATTGATTATCTGGATATTTCCAGATATCCACATTCAAATATTTTGCATCCTCTTCCACCTCTCAGCACCTCCCACAGTGCTTATGCACATAGTAGGATATTTAATAAATGGGTATTTATTGAATGAGCATGTTTGAATCTGGGCATCTGATGTGGTATTAAAAAAATACCTCTGTATTTGTCTTAAATGTTTAGCCATATTCCACAAATGTAGACCAAATAGCAAAATCTTAAAAATTTCAGATAATTGAAAACAACCTTACCTTCTGATCCACTCTTAAGATCAACAAAAGCATTAGAAGGTCAATACAGCGCTACACAAGTAGTGGCACGAGTTTATTCCCACTTGTATAAAGTTCCTCCTGCCCCCAGGCCACCACTCTCACCATCCCGGGAACTCTCTCCCTATCAACCTTGGAAGGAACCTGCTTTCTGTAGCTTTACTCTGTATTCTCCTTCAATATTCTCCTAACCAACCTCCCGATAATTCTGGAAAATCTGTTTCTCTGCCCTATCTCCCACTCCAATTGGTAATTATCTTTCCTAGACCACTATTTCAGAAAAACCCTAGGCTACCAATGCCTTACTTCATTCCCTCCTCTCCAGTCATCTGCCCCTTGACAAGCACCTTGCTGTACGAAAATCAGGTGCCCTTCACACCCAACACCTACATCTTTCCGAAACTCTAAACCAGAGGTGGGGAACCTGTGGCCTCGAGGTCACATATGGCCCTCTAGGTTCTCAAGTGAGGTCCTAGAGGGCCACATGTGGCCTTGAGGCCAGGTTCCCCACTCTTGCTAAACAATCATCAAATCTATTCTGTCTTTGTTCTTGGATGAGGTATGTCAGTCTACTCCCCAATACCTCCATTCACCATCCCTGTAACTTTCTAGACCAGAATCCCCTCCCTGGCTTCCAGTTCCCCTTTCTGTGTTGTTACCCCTATTAGAATATAAGCACCTTGAAGGTAGGGACTATGTTTAATTTTGTATTTTTATCCTTAGTGCTTAGCACAATGCCGGGCATGTTGTAAGTGCTTAATAAATGATTTTTCATTATCTATTCATCCATCCACATTCCTACATAAGTCCAGCAGAAGCTACTGGGAGCAACTACTCTTCTACTCACGATGGTCGTGCCTTCACTAACAAAGCCTTGTGTCCTTTGGTTGGGAGAAAGATGAAATTACAGTCAGCACATGCTGGAGACACGTGTTCAGAAAATGGGGATGTTCATTGTGCAAAGTTGCCAAGAAAATGACAGCTCTTTATGATAAACTGGTCTAGGGAGAAGAGGAGGCAGATGGAAGACCCACAGAGATTTTTGTCAGCATTCTCCCCATTAAAAAAAAATACCACAAAACATGTGGCTACATCTGGAATTTCCTACTAGTCTCTTCTTGCATGTAATCTTGTTGCATTTACTGTATGTTTGTACTGAAAACAATGATGTATGATTTGCAATTTGCAGGAGACTGTTGGCTCTTAGCAGCCATTGCCTCTCTTACACTTAATGAAAAGACCTTGGCTAGAGTTGTGCCCCAAGACCAAAATTTTGGCCCCGGTTATGCTGGGATATTTCACTTTCAGGTAAGTGGGAAGAAGGGCCTAATGAGCTTATTTCTTATGGGACCTGCGTAGCCAAACAAAAAAAAAAGCATTCTTAATATGCCTGATAAATCCAAACAGAATACAACTGGACCTTGCTTTAATGAATAATTATAGTCTTAAATGCATGCCAACCAATTTTCTGCAAATAGAATCATATTTTAAGTAGATTAGAGGGCCATTTAAAGATGAACTATGGTAGATCTTTTTGTAAACAATCAGCTTTTATGTTATCTTTGTAGTAAATCTGAATTTTCAGTGGATATACCTGTAATACTGCCATGTCCATGTAACTATATAATTTATGGTAAATACAAAGATCCACTGCACTGAAAAAAAAATGGTGACATGAGGTTATTAAGAGAGAAAAATACCGAGGGAAACCGAAAAACAAAAACAAACAAACAAACAAAAGAAACACACAGGGTGACTCAAAGACCTTAGTTGATGGGTCCATGTGGAAACAATGATGTGTCTCAAACACACACAAAGAACAAAAGTTTATGTTTCTTGCTTCCACCCCACACCCTTCCATGGTACACTTTTCTTATCTTCTCCCCCACCAGAAGTCTCCTAGTGCCCCAGACCTTTCTGGAAATGGGATGATTGATTTGAGAAATTAATTCACCTTAAGGTATTAGTGACCTATAACAGAGGCATCATGACGTGGTAGACAAAGAGCTGGTCTTGGAGTCAGAAAGACTCAAGAACTACCTCTGTACATATTGGCCGTGTGATTCTGGGCAAGTCACCCACCTCCCTGTGTTCCACCTTACACCTGTGAAATCACAGCTCTGGTAAAAACAAAAAGAAAAAGTTTAATCTGTTAGCTCGGTCTTAACCTGATACCAGTGTATTTGTTTTCCCATGCTAGAGATATTTTAATGAGCACTTTTGGTAAAGAGAATGTTTGTCTGGGTCTGGGTAGTAATATAAAGAGACAAGGCAAAGGAGTAGGATCAGACTGCTACAATTTTATATTCCTGATGTTAATCTTGTCCCTTCTTTCTTCTCATTTTTCTTTATAAAGAGGTAGGTGAGGAGGGCAAAGGGAGGAAACATTATAATAGGATATGAGAGAAGAAAAAAAACTTAACAACTATAACCATGAATGTGAATAGTAATATGGATAGAAAAAAATAGATTCAACAATATATTATTTACAGAAAACACATTTAAAACATAAAGTATTCATACATATTTAAACTGAGGGGTTAGAGTAACATTTTTTAAGCCTTAAGTGACTTCAAAAAAGCAAGGATTGGTAATAGTAATCTCAGACAAAGCAAGTGTAAAACTAGACAGTGTTAAATGAAAGAAACAGGAAAGCTATATTGTGCTTAAAGCACTATGGTCAATAAAACAGTATCAATACTAACTATGCATTGAATGGCATAGCATCTGAGAACTTAAAAAGCTAACCAAACTACAAGGATAAATAGAGAGTGAAGCAATAATTATTGGACACTTCAACAGACCCTTTTAGGCCTAGGCAGATCTATCAAAAAGAAAAACAAGAAAACAAGAGTTAGTAACAGTTACTAAGTTACTATGAGTTATTAACAAGAGTTAGTAACCCAAATAGCATTTCATAAAAAATAGATTGGCCTCTGGCAATTACTAAATGGGAATTATGAGAATTCAACATATTTCTTGGCTTTCCATGGCACATTTACAAAACTTGACCATGTGTTAGAGCATAGCAAACTTACAAACAAATGCAAAAAACAGAAATATAAACATATTTTACTGAACACAACACAATAAAAATTATAATTAAGAAGGGGGAATTTGAAGAAAAGATTCAAATCTAAATAGAGACTAAATAATATAATCCTAAGGAATGATTGGATCAAAGAACAAACACAGAAACAATAAATTTCTGTGAAAGAAAAAGATGAGACAACATAACACGTAGACAAACCATTAGCTAATTTGATCAAAAAAGCAATGTTTTATCTAAAGGAATACGTCTCTGATGATAGCATTTCCAGTACTATGGCACCTAGGCAAAGGAGATATCTGAAGTCTGAGGGGTGTCTTCCTGGTACCCGCATATGAAATCATAGAACTAGAAACCTCCCTTGCCAAATAATAACTCATCCTTAATTCAAATTTCAAGATTTTACAAAGCACTCTTCATAACAAACCTGTAAAGCAAGTAGTATAAATATTATCATCCCTATTTTACATATGGACCCAAGATGATGATAGGTTAAATAACATGCATAGCTTTTAAGTTTCTGAGGCAAGATTTGAACCCAGGTCCCCGATTACAAGTCCAGCATTACATTCTTCTCTATGCACAGAAAGGGTCCCTGTGCTTAGGTGACAATGCCTCCTTTACTTGCCCACAGAACTGGAGTTTTTTCATCCTCTCTCCTCTGCGTACCACCTTCCCTGAATTTTTCCTGGCAGAGCTTTCCTCTCCCACCCTCAAGTTTCCTCTGCCACTGCCAGAGTCTTTACCTGAATCACACTAGAGGCTGACAGTCATGACAGATGCCAGCAGCATCTTCTCTCAAATACATTAGTGTTTTCTTAACTCAACAGCTTTGGAAGCTGACAGGATAGGCTGGAGCCACTGTGTTAGAAGATTTCTCTGCTTCTTCAGGCTTCTCTGCTTCCCCATCATTTTTTGTTGTTCAGCCATTTCTCAGTCATGCCCAACTCTTTGTGACCCCATTTGGGGTTTTCTTGGCAGAGATACTGGAGTGGTTTGCCATTTCCTTCTCCAGCTCATTTTACAGATGAGGAAACTGAGGCAAATAGAGTTAAGTGACTAGCCCAGAGTCACACAGTTAGTAAGTGTCTGAGGCTGGATTTGAACTTAGGAAGAAGGTCTTCCTTATTCTAGGCCCAGCACTCTATCCACTGTGCTACCTAGCTGCTCCTATATTAAATTACAGTTATCAAAATATTAAAAAAAAAAGTCCATGAGCTCCAAGTTAAGAACCGTTGCACTAGTTCCTCACCTACATCACCTCTTAACAGAGGCAGTATGTATAGCATCATGGATAGAATGCTGGCTTTTAAGTCAGGAAGACCTGGGTTCAAATCCTACTTTTGACCCTTAATTAGCTGTGTGACCCTAGGCAAGTCATTTACCTTTTCTGAGTCTTTGTTTCCTTATTAGTAAAATGAAGGGGTTAGGCTAAATAACCTTTAAAGTCCCTTCCAACTATAGACCTATGATCCTAAGTACAATTTTTTTTTTCCTTTTAAGTAAATGCTAGTACAAAATAGGAAGATGCAGATGTGTGGGTGCTATACGACCAACTAGGTCATTTGGGTCATCTGGGGTCACTTCAGTCCCCTCCATCTGAATTCCAGTCATTGGAATAAATTGATGGGAGGACATTACCCCCAACTGCTTGTTGCTTTAGGGAGCATAGGCTCCTGATTGCTCATTAGACATCTGTCTAAATCTTATCTACCCCACGTGTGAAGCTCCTAACAGCAGGAAAGAATGTCCATGAATTTAGCAATCACAAGCAGTTCCGGCACATCTGTCAAGAGGTGTGAGATTCCCTGCACAAAGAACAGAAATCTGAATTTACCCTCTGGCAGGCAGCTTGCTGCTGTGTTCAACTGAGCTCTAACACGTTTACCATTTAGGATTCCATAGCTGAGAAATGAAAACAAAACAAAACAAAACAAAAAAATAAATAGCCCACTAGCCTGACCCAGAGTAACTAATTGATGCAGAGAAATGGTTGTTGTCTAACAGCATAACTATGAAGAGACAGCTGCTGCCACCATTGTATTTACCATCTCCTTCCATTATCGCCCCACCCTCCCCCCTCCGCTCCTCGCTGAAGCCTTAGGATTTTCATTCTGCTAACATAATGAGTGTCAGATGAGGAACAGAGGAAGGAAGAAAGAGAAAGACTGAATTTTAAAGGGAAAAGTTCTAAGATCGTGACATGATCTCCTGTGCTCATCTGGCCTTGTGCTACCATTCTCTGCAGTGAGCACTCTGTCTCAACTCCCTTTTCCCCAGCATATAAGTTGGCAATGGAATACCATCTTAGTACATCATTTCTTGTGTGAACGGAAAAAAATCAAACAGGCAGATAGATAGGTAGACAGACAAACAAGGGAAATCAAGCCCAGGCGGCACCACCTATGCTGAGGGTACTGATGAGCGTTAAGGATACAGTTAGAAGGCTGTTGATCAGCTAAGACAGGCGTAGGAAACTGGGCAGCAAAGAGGATACCATAATAAACTAGAGGAGATACTACAGGAAACCACTTAGTGCATCAGAGACTGTGATGCCAATTTCATCTACTTCCCAATCCCAATTGATATTTGCCTGGTTGAAATTGGGATACTTGGATGAAGGGCAGGACCATTAGATGGAGTCAAGTGTATGGAAACAAGGCTCAATTAACTCAAGGTTTCTTGAGCATGGGACCTGACTGTGCCTTTTGCAAGGCATCAAACCCAAGTCAGTCAGTATCTTTCCTTCCCCTCTCCCCTATGGCCCCTGATGGCCTAAAAAGTCATTGGCATTTTGCAGTGGGCCTTAGGAGCAAAGAATTATAGGTTTAATGCTGGAAGAGACCTTAAATGTCATCTAGCATAACCCCTCGTTTTATAGCAGGGAAAACTAAGGCTTAAATACATTGTGACTTATTTAAGTAAGAGGTAGGTAGGTGGTACGGTAGATAGAGCACTGAGCCTGAGGACAAGAAGATCTGAGTTCAAATCCAGCCTCAGACACTTAACTAGTCATGTGATCCTGGGCAAGTCATTTAACTTCTGTCTACCTCAGTTTCCTCATCTTACAGATAGTGATAATATAAAGATAGTAATTGTACTTCCATTCCAGAATCCATTTAGGATCAAATGAGATAATTATAAAGAGCTTAGCATAGTGACTGACATCTAGTAAGCACTATATTGATATTAGCTATTATTATCCATTTTCACATATTCACATCCATAGTCATTAAGTTTGGCAGAGAAATTGGCAGGGAAAGAATTGAAACCCAATCCTTCTGATTTCAAATCCCACTCTCTATGGGACTATGCTTTAGATCAGCAGGTCTCAAGCTTTTTCGTCTCAGGACCCTTTAATACTCTTAAAAATTATCAAGGACTACACAAAGAGCTTTTGTTTATGTGGATGATATGCCTATGGATGTTTACTACATTAGAAATTAAAACATCTTAGTATTATTATGAAAACAGTTTTTACTTTACAGGCCCCCTAAAAGGTCATGGCAAGCCTTAGCAGCCCCCAGACCACACTTGGGCAACCACTGCTTTAGATCATGAGATCATAGATTTGGAGCCAGAAGGGACCTTAGAAGTCATCTAGTTCTCTCTCTCCCCTCTCTCCTTTAAAGATAGGGAAATTGAGGCCCAATGAGGTTAAAGACTTGTGAAAGGTTTTTCACAATAAGGTGAATAAGGCAGAGGTGTTATTTGAACCCAGGTCTTCTGACTCTGGTCCTTTTTTTTTAGTGAGGCAATTGGGGTTAAACGACATGCCTAGAGTCACACAGCTAGGAAGTATTATGTGTCTGAGGCCGGATTTGAACTCAGTTCCTCCTGACTCCAGGGCCGGTGCTCTATCCACTGCACCACCTAGCTGCCCCCTCTGCCCCTTTTAATCTTCCTACTATTAATACTTTGCCTCTCAGCTGTTATTCATGAGTTACTGTGGCTTAAAAACGTCACCTGGTGTCCAGTCTTGTGGTGATGAGTCCCTCTGAATTTAGCTAGGCCGGTTCTTGAAAGTCAGATATGAAGTACTTTGACTCACATCCTTCCCAGCTTGATGGGACCTGCCAGAGTGTCTTCTCCAAGTGACATGACCTTTCAAGATGAGGCATAAGTGAAGGACATTAGTGGAATTGTAGGCATATTCACGATTTACCCATTTATCTTTCATCATGTCTCCGGCAACAGATCTGGCAGCATAGTGAGTGGTTGGACGTGGTCATTGATGACCGGCTCCCGACCTTCCGAGATCGCTTGGTTTTCCTTCACTCTGCCGATCACAATGAATTCTGGAGTGCCTTGCTGGAAAAGGCATATGCCAAGTGAGTGTCCACCTGCACTTAACAGACAAGAATTTCACTATCTCACCAAAAAAGCATACATTTCCCTCAAGAGGTTGTTTCATGGTTTTTTATTATCTTTGTATAAGCCAGGTGGTGGGGGAAGCTTAAAAGTTGGGGAGGAGGAAATGAGAAAGAGCTGGGATTCACAATGCTGAATAGCATGCAGCTCGTCCCTAAATGACCTAATCCAATTTTGATGTGGCCAAAAAAAGAACCAGATGGTTCCTCTACTACTCTCCAGGCTTTTCCCTGTCCCTAGACCTCACAATATCCCCTCTCCAGTTCCTTTCACCACTTTGAGTTTGGAAAGGGAGAGAGGAAGGTAGGAGCATGGGAAGGCAGGAAGCGCACTCCAGAACTGTTGAAATGGCATAAAGAGAGAACACACACCCACAAGAAAACTATGGTGCAAATTTGTGTTGTTATATGCCATTAATTGTGTATCAATACTGTATATTTCTAACCATCACATATATGGATATATGTGGATGTTATTAAGCAGTGTCTATGTATAATGTCAGCTAAGAATCTCTATATCTCCAGGTTACATGGATCATGTGCTCCCAAAGATAGGAACCAGCACTCCAGACTTTGCTACCATACCCCCTGCGTGAAAGTATCTTCCTCCACTTCTCCTTTACCTCCCTTTCTCCTTTCAGTTTCCTTTTTATGTACTGCCTTCCCCCATTAAAATCTAGACTCCTTGAAGTCAGGGACTATCTTTCTTTTCTGCTTCTATTTATATTTCCAGTGTTTAGCATTGTTCCTTATACCTGGAATGCCCTTCCCTCCTCTCTTTGCTTATGGAATTCCTACTCATCCTTTAAAATCCAGCTCAAATGCCCCCTCTTTCCTGAAGTTTTTCTTGATCCTTTCTGTTGCAATGATGACTCCCTTGAAATAATACTTTGCATATCTCTAATTCACATATATTATTGTGTATTGTGGTTATCTGTGTATGTGTCTTATATCCCTTATTAGACTGTAAGCTCCACGAGGACAAGGATTATGTCTTAACAACATTTTTATTTCATCTAGTGCCCAGAAGAGTGTTCTATATGTAGTAAATGCTTTTTTGTTGTTGTTGTCCAATCATGTCTGACTTTTCATGACCCCTTTGGGGTTTTCTTGGTAAAGATACCGGAGAGGTTTGTCATTTCCTTCTCCAGTTCATTTTACAGATATGGAAATTGAGGCAACCAGGGTTAAGTGATTTGGCCAGGATCACACAACTGGTAAGTGTGTGAGGCTGGATTTGAACTCGTCTTCCTGACTCCAGGCCTGATGCTCTATCTACTGTACAACCTAGCTGTCCAGCGGGTGCTTAGTAAATGTTTATTGGACTGAATTGAATTGAAATTGAATTGAAGGCTTTTGTAGAGGCTCAAAAAGAGGTCGGCAGTTCCCTGGGTCAAGTGTGTCACATAAAGATGCTTGATTATCTAACAATGCTCTAACAATGCTCAGGGCCTGTATTAGCTCTAACTTCACTGAGAGTTACAGATGATTTTTGATTATTTGATTACGGACTAATTTAGCCACATATACTACAAGCCATTTCCTGCCAGCCAGATGCCAAGAGCTGTGCTATGGAAGTGAGATTTGACTTGTCCTACTTGCCCCAAGAGAGCAGAACTGCTGAATGAGTGGTAAGTGAGGGAGCAGGGGATCATTGCAAAGAATGCCTTCCTAACATAGCTAGCCCCAAAAGTGGATGCCTTGAGAAGCAATGGCTGAAGGGGCAGCTAGGTGGTGCAGTAGATAGAGTACCAGCCCTGAAGTCAGGAGGACCTGAGTTCAAATCTGGCCTCAGACCAAACACTTGACACTTACTAGCTGTGTGACCCTGGGCAAGTCACTTAACCCCAATTGCCTTTAAAAAAAAAAAGGAGTAGTGGCTGAACTACCTCACCTGCCAGGTATATTGTAGACTCAGGTTCAGATCCAGATTGGAGTAGACAGTCTTTGATGTTCCTTCCAATTCTGATATTTTGTGACTCCCTGAGCTGGTCCAGAACTGTTTCCTCACTACCCAAGGTCACCTCAAGGGTTAAAGATACCATCCATCCTGGCTGAAGGATGGGGAGCTCTGCTGTTACTGGGAACAGAGTATTCTAGGTAATATGACTGGGCTGGTGGGAAAACAAAAAAAAATCCATGTCTTCCCTTAAGCTTTCAGAGGTCTCCCTAACAATAGTGGAGGAAAAAAGCAGCATCAGACTGAGATTCAGGAGTCCTGAGTTCTAGTCTCCCAGCAACTTGTCTTGTGACTGTGGTAAGCTACTTCCTCTCTCTAGACCTCAGTTTCCTTATCTGTAAAATGAAGGTGATAGAGGAAGAACCTCAGTACTGTGAAATTATAATGACTGCTCTTGTCTCCAAATAAAAAATGAAAAAAAAAAACACCATAACTCTCTCATTTTCAGAGGTGGTGTGTTATGGGTATATAACATTGCATGTTCTCTTGGGATCAATTAGTGTGCTGGCAAGTTTTGCTAAACTGTTTTTCCCTCTTCTTCCTCCTTTTCTTCCTTCCTTCCCCTCTCCATTCCCTTGTTCCCTCTTTCCTTCTCTCCTCCTTCCCTTGCTTCCATCTTTCATCTTTCTGTCCTTTCTTTTTTCTTCTTCCTTTCCTCCCTCCCTCTCTTTCTTTCATTGTTGCTGTTACAAGGGATAGCCCACTGAATAGAGAAGGGAGGAAAGATATATTCAGAAATAAAGGCATTCTAAAAACAAAAAAAAATAAGTAAAATTTCAAAATAACACACTGAAGATAAATTATTTAAAATAAAGTTAGGTTACTAGTAGACAATTTCTAAGTTCCCTTGTTATCTCTAGATTCCTGTGAGTCTTGATTCATTCCCTTCCCTGAGGGGTGCTCCTTTCTTGGGCAGAGGACAGTCTTCCTACTGTCTGATAGCAGCCTTGGTGTATTTCTCCTCTCCTTTTCAGATTGAATGGAAGCTACGAAGCCCTGAAGGGTGGCAGCACAATTGAAGCTATGGAAGACTTCACGGGAGGAGTAGCAGAGACTTTTGAAGTTAGAAAGGCCCCAGAAAATTTCTATGAGATCCTAGAGAAAGCCTTGAAGAGAAGCTCTATGGTGGGCTGCTCCATAGATGTAAGTCACACACATAAGGGCCATGGAGGGACCTATAGGATAGGAATGGACAGAGAATTGAGTTCTGGGCATATTTTTGTCACCATGACCTAGGGCAATTAATTTAATATCACTGGACTTTAATTTCTCTACCCAGAGCCAGATTTAGGCAAAATGATAAAGGGGAGTAGGCTTGTCCCGTCCATTAGCTTTCCACACCCTTTTCTTCCACTATGGACCTTCCCCAACTCAGTGTCCCAGGGTTCTCCTATTCTTCCCTATCCAAAACCTGGAAAAAGTTTTGTCAATTCTTTCACACTAAGGTATAAATGATTGGTAAACATATTAAGCTTCAGAAGTATCACAGAATTAGATGATTTTAGAGTTGGAAGAGACCTAAAGTAGCCATCCAGTCCAACTCGTGACTGAAAAAAGAATCTTCATTAGGGCATAATTGAAAAGTGGTCATGAAGCCTCTGCTTGAAGACCTCTAACAAGGGGCAACCATCTACTTCACAAGGAGGCCAATACAGTTTTGGACAGCTCTAACAATTAGGAAGTTTTTCCAGATATCAAGCCTTAATTTCACTCCAGTTTCTGTCCTTTAGAACAAGCCTGATCCCTCTACTACATGGCAGCCTTTCAGAAACTTGAAAATAGCTATTATAGCCCCCTTTCATACTTCATATCTCCTTATAACCCTTCTATAATTTTTTCTCTTCTCTAATTTTTCAATGGATCCTCATATGATATGGATTCAAGGTTGTTTACTGTTCTGATTGCCTTTTTCTGAACATCCTATATAGTTTTCTTTGATGCCCACAAAAGGGCTTGGTTTTCCAGAATCACGTCATTGTGGTTTTATAATATCAATTAAACAAGTATTTATTAAGTACCTACTATGTGTCAGGCTCTATATCCACATATATACATATAAGTACACACCAAACATATAGAAAGTGAATACAAGGTAACTAAAGAACAAATTGTCCAGCTATTCAAACAGTTATGAATATAACATACTGTACTATGGTCTAACCCACACAGTTCTCTTTTCCCCACAAGAATAGGATGCTGCACTTTGTTAAATACTCCAATTCAAATCAACAAGGACAAAGGGAACAACATTTATTAAACACCTACTATGTACCAGGCACTATGCTAATGACTTGAATTTGATTCAGTAAATATTTATTAAGTGCCTACTATATACCACACACTATGCTAAGTACTAAGGATACAAATAAGAAAAATAAAGACAGTCCCTGTTTTTAAGGAACGTGCAATCTAACGGAGAGAGGGAGCAGGGAGTATGATGTTCTGTGGAGTCAAAACCAAGCATTGCTGCTGATGGAAAACAGAGGATTACCATTGTACATTGTACTTAGTATTTGGTACTAGGTATTGGCAATATCTATATCTATATATACACACACATACATATACATGTACATAAATATACACACACATATATACATATACTTATATACATGCATACACATACATATTTTATACACATATATATATATATATGAAGTGGAAGCACACACAACTTGAGATCAGTAAAAGGACTCTTAAATAAGGTGGCAATTGAGTTGAGTCTTGAAGTAAGTTAGGGATTCTAGGAATCAGAGGTGAGGAGGAAGAGCATCATTGGCACTGGGGCAAACCAGTATAATCTTCACTAAGGAAATAGAAACATGTTGGTATACTTCCGATGGATGGGATCCACTTAACGACTATGCAAGCTACTGAGGCGGGCAGAGGGGTAGTAAGAAAGAAGAAATAGTGGCTTTGTTTGTTGTTTTGTGCACAACCAGAATTTAATTTTGAAAAAATGAATTCCCTTTAAAATATAAATTTCAAGCTAAAAGAAAACATTGGGAGAATCCTGATTCCTCCTGTCCACTGTGCTTAATAAATATTTTTCAGTTGATTGAGCATCGCCACTTGTTGTAACAAATTCTACAATGAAAAGTAGGGGAACATTTAAGAAATGATCAGGAAAACTCCCTGGAGAAAGAGAATAAACTACTTGGACGTAAAAGAGTTGAAGTTTTCGTCCATAAGATTCCCAGATGTGCCAAGCATTATTGTTTAAATGAGAAAGCTAATGCTGCACTTGGATTATATGCAACGGTATAAATTCCACCCATGCAGTCCTCACAGAATAGGGGAGCCCAGAGAAACAAAAAGAGAAGGATTTTCTGAAAAATACATGGACCTGTACTTTCCAGGTTGGCAAGTATGAAGGTGGCAGTGTGTGGATTGGTCTTATTGGGAGGAATGAGTCATGCCTAGTCAATGTGTATAACACTGATGAGTATAGAAAGGAATAACATTCACTGTTTCAATTAACTGCAAAACTCTACCACATCAAGTCCATTCTCTGCTTTCGCTTTAGATCAGCAACCCTTCAGAGTCAGAAGCACGGACACCTTTTGGCCTCATTAAGGGTCATGCATACACTTTGACTGGAATTGACCAGGTAGGTAAAAGGAATATATGTTGTCAAGCCACAGGGGAGGAAAGAAAGGTAAATTGATCTAGGCAGAATTGGATATTAAAACCAAACCAAAAACTGCAGAGACCTCTTGAATGCTCAGTGACTAGCCAAGATGGTATCATATTCCAAACACTTGGTATTATATTCCAAGCTCTCAGAATGGATTTCAGATGTTTCAAATGTTGGGAGCAGGGTGCGGGGAGAAGGGAGTCCCAGACAAAGCTCTCTTCAAAATTTTTCCTTACTTACCCCATTCTTTTCAACTCTACATCTATAGTCCAAGTCACTAGAGAAAGTACTCATCCCTAAAGGGCCAGAGAACAAAGAAAAGTCATTCCCTTCATAAGCACCTCCAAAGTGACATTGAGCACTGTGTTGCTCGAGGAAAAAGAGAATAAGCACCTAGTGAGCATTTGAGAAAGAGAAAGGCCAAGAGAACGGAGATAAGAAAGGAGGGAAAGGAGTCCAACAACAGCTTCAGGCTCTTCTTCATTTCCAGTATTTGAAGATCAGATGTATACCTTTTCTCATCTGAAACCTCTTTTACCTAGCCAACTCAATTATTCAGGGGCTAATTATCCGGTTTGCATAATGCAGACCTTTTATTCTTCTGCTGCTCATGTTGTTGGCAGCATGTACTGAATTGGCACTTCTACTTCTGGGTGGAGAAAGGAAGAGTGAAAAAAAAGGAATAGAGGAAGGGAGGGAAGAAACAAGCATTTATTAAGTATGTGCCTGGCACTATGCCAAGCATTTTATAAATATTATTTCATTTGATCTTCACAACAACCTTGTGAAGTAGATGCTAATATCCCTACTTCATAGTGGAGGAAATCAAGGCAGACAGAGGTTAAGTGACCTGTCCAGGATCACACAGCTAGGAAGTATCTGAAACCAGATTTGAACTCAGGAAAATGAGTCTTCCTCACTCCAGGTCTGGCACTCTATCCACTATACCACCTAGTTGCCTATTAATAGTATTCATATCTTCCTTCCTTCCTTCCTTCCTTCCTTTCTTTCTTTCTTTCTTTCAATTGAACCTATTATTTCATCTGAATAAGGAGTTCCCAGTGAGGAACATTCTTTCACCAATTCAGATCAGCACCTGTGCTGCAATTTCTAGTCTTAGAGAGCTACCAAGGTCACTGAGAGATTTAAGGAGTGGCTCAGTCATACAACCAAGGCCAATTCATGTCAGAGGCAGGACCTGAATCCAGATCTTCCGAACTTGGAGGCCTATATCCAGGTATCTATCTCTAGACAGATAGATAGATGGCAGTTAGGTGATGCAGTGGATAGAGTGCTGGGCCTGGAGGGAGGAAGATGCCTCTTCCTAAGTTCAAATCTGGCCTCATAAACTCACTACTTGTTACCCTGGGCAAATCACTTAACCCTCTTTACCTCAATTTCTTCATCTGTAAAATGAGCTGGAGAAGGAAATGGCAAGCCACTTTAGCATCTTTGCCAAGAAAACTCCAAATGGGGTCATGAAGAGTTGGACACAGCTGAAAATGATTGAACAAAAACAACAAATATGCATATGCATACATACATATACATGTACATACATATATGTATATATGTATATGTGTGTGTATATGTGTGTATACATATATATACATATATATACATATACATACATACATACATATATATATATATATCAAAAGCACTGTGGCATATTGATGAAGTCAGCCTCCAAGTCAGTACATGTGTGTGGGGGGTGCAGGTGGGGGGTGAATGAATGGGTAGACAGATTCCCATATTAGAGCTTTAAAAATCTCATTCCAAAGAACGCATTTTCCTGATCTTGTTTCTGTCCTCTTTGCTTTCTAAGTCATCCTTTCTCCCACCCCGATGAAGCTCACTATGATGTGAGTCACGGCCCCTGCCACACACTATTCCGTATTAGGAATGGCAAGGAAGGAAAAGTATCGTGAGCCTGAGTCAGCGGAGCCCCTAAGAACAATGAGAGGGGACATTAAGAAGAGGTAGAAGGTATGGATGGGAAGAAACGGGAGGATGCAAACTAGTGTGTGATCACAAGTCCAAGGCCATTTCTTTCACAGGGATTCTGCCTGTTCAGAATGCAGCGGGGACATGAGAGGGACGAGTCTTCGACCACTTTTTCAAAGAACATGGAGACAGTGCAGAGTCAGGCGAAGTTGCAGCAGAGAGAATGTCCATTGGAGTATTTGCTTTTTGTCGCACTTAGGCAGGGCTGAGGGCCATAGTTGACACTGACTGTGTTTCCCTAAACTGTTTATATCAAATTCTGGGATGATGAATTTCTAGATACAGATTGCACTCTGTAGTGATTATGTTCTTTATCCAATCAATACATACAGTTAAGTAAAGCACTAGATAAGAGTGCTCAGTGGCACAGTGGTTAGAATATTGGACTTAGAGTCCAGAAGAACTGAGTTCAAATCCTACTTCAGATACTTATTGCCTCTGCGATGCTGGGCAAGCCTTTTAACCTCTCTCAGCCTCAATTTCTTCATCTGTAAAATAGGGATAATAATAGCCTACCTCCCAGAGTGGTTGTGAGGATCGAATTAGAACATAGGTAAAGGGTTCTACAAAATTTAAAGCACTACCTAAATGCTAGGTATTATTACAGTGAATCTCAATAAAACTAGACCATTTGGGGAATGACATATTCTGGTCAATTGAATCATCCACCTACAGATACTTCACAAAACCCTTTTTCTTTCCACACATTGCTGAAAATCTTTCAAGATGTCTATATTTCTGTATTATAAGATGGAGAATATAATTGGATATTTCTTTAATAATTCAGGACCTTGGAATACTTCAGGATTGTCATCTTAAATTTCAGTAGTCATAGTACCAATAATAGAGATGTAGCTCTGGAAAGTATGAGATGTTGGCCTGAATTTGTATTGAACTAAGGCATCTCCTAGAAGCTAGCTTTAAAATGAATACTGCATAACAACTTGTTCATTTGCCATTTGCCATTATTCTCCTAAGAGCAATTTCGGTTTTAGTAAGGGGGAAAAAACAGTGCAAAGATTGAGGGTTTCAGTTAGTTGGTTTTTAGTTAATAGAGGTTGTATTATAGTTCCCAGTTGCCACTCTGGGATGATTTAAGCAATATTATTCAAAATGTGAATCAATCCCTCAACTAGGGGTTGGAAGATTTCAAGGGCTATTTAGCATTTGATGAGTTCTTCAGTGACTTAGCTTTGGTGCCCAAAAGGTTTAAGAGTGACTATAAATGTTCTTGTTGGTAGTTAAAGGGGAGACTGCAAAGTTTGGTGGTAAAGCAAAAAGGTTCTTTATCTAGGCCTTGTTCACGGAGGTGAATGGCCTTGATGACTGTGCACATGGAACTGCTAGGGAACACTGTTAGCCACTAACTTAATTCTGTTTACAATAAGATCCGGGTGCTGAGCAGTCCCACCACGCCACGCTGAAGGGAGCTCCCAGGGAATTCCTATAGTGGGAACTCTATCTCTGCCAGGGAATCGAGGCCTTCTAGCCCCAGCTCAGTTTCTTTCAGTCTGGATGGAAGTTGGTTCATTTTGCCAGTCTGAGGGGTGTATTCAGAGCACATTCACACAATCAAAACAGCTCTCAGACCCCCTTTTTACAAGGAAACCCTCCCTAAGGCTAGTGACTTCACCAAAAAGTGAGTAAACGCTGCCACCCCAGTGACTAAACAAGTATGCTAATTCAATACAGTTTCTATACTTATAAGCATAAAATCAACAAAAGGAATTACATGAAAATATATTCATCCGATAATGCTCAACTACACCCACAGCTTCTCCCAGACTCTGGCCACCCAGGAATTTTAGCAAGGGCATATTTCCACTGTTTAATCCCTCTTTCCCACGTGTACACAGACTCTGAGAGTGAGCAAAGAGCTTCATCCACTAGACCAGAGTTACCAAATGCTGTTCTACTCATTACTTTATGGTGGGACTATTATCCATTGAGGGATCTCATGATTTGGGGCAACTGAAGTCCTCTTCATGGTGTGGGGAAGTGGACTTGGAAAAAGCTCCAGCTCTGAATGAAGTTTTTCCACTCTTTTTTTTTTCTATCTGCTGTTCCTCTTGGGCCAGACCTCCAGCTTCTGGTCCTTCCCCACATACCTAATGAATTAGCTCTCGCCCAAGGACCTACGGTCATATAATGTGGCAAGGCCAGAGCAGACACTCTCCTCTCTGGCTGTTATTATGACTATCCTTCTCCCCATCCTTGAAAACCTTTTGGCACCTTCCCCCTTGATCGTTATATCAACATCGTTTCCACCTGCAGCCTCTCTTTGAGTCATTTCGTAGTACCTATGCTGGCTCACCCTCAGAGAACAGGGATTGGGGGAGGCCATTTCTTTCTTCCTCCCCACCCAGTATAGTTATAGCTATGGGAAGGAAGGAAGATTTGAGCACTCACTATGTATGAACATGTCCAAGCTTTCAAACTGTTTTATAATGTCATATCTCTCTACTACTTCCCCCTTTAGGTGAATTATGGAGGCCAAAAGGTTGAGCTCATCAGAGTTCGGAATCCTTGGGGCCAGGTAGAATGGAATGGCCCTTGGAGTGACAAGTCAGTATCCTCTGCTTCATTTTGAGCTTCTAACGACACTTGAGTTGCCAGACAAGGGAGCAGTGATATACCTGGGATGAAAGACAGCAGTTCCTCCCTGTGTGAAATTGTGATGTAGATAATGCCTGCAGATTCCCATTTGGGGGTCCTTTTCTCCCTTTTGTGGTTTCCTCTCCTCTGCCACTTAGGGGCCCATTTCTCTTTCCACTATCAAAGCTGATCCCAGGAAAGAATCTAGTAGCAATCTTTTATACTTTAGCATGAACTAGCTTAAATCAACATTAGTACCCCTCCCAAAGACATTTAAAATCTTTTTAAGATTTTAAAATTTAAAATCTTCAACTCTTATTAATGTCAACCAGACCTAACCAACCTCTAACCAGTGTATGGCAGGGACTGAACAGAGCAGGCTAGAGACAGGAGAGTCAGGAATCAGAGGTTTAATTTCAAAGTGAGGGAAACAGCTTACAAGCAAGGAGGCTATCTAGACACATGTGCTAGGGCCCCACCCCTGGGGAGGGGACACGAGGCAGTGTGGGGAGATCTCAATACTTATACCAATGGCTACGCAGTGACAATAAGGGGTAACTAGCCCTGACAATAAGGGAAAACAGTGATAGTGAGACAAGTTTGATTCATAGCAGGGCTTCATGAACAGAACATGGATATTTGTCCGAGCTTGTCCGGTGCTTGTCCAAGCTCAGAGAACACCTGGTGCTGGTCAAAGCAGTACAATAATTATGTGATTTTGCCAGAGGGTGAGATCATCTAGAGGGTGAGCACAGAGGATTGTTGTTATGGCAAGCTCAGAGCACAGCTTGTTTGCTGGGCCTTAGCTCTCAAAAAGAGGATGATTCCTAATATCTTGACATTATAATTGCTGGAACCAAGGTCTTTTTGCAAATGTCCTTGACTTTTTTTCACCATTATTAAGGAAAAGTAAATGACTGCCAGTGATGACCTGTAATCCTTCTTTTAAGCACTTTGCCATATCTATATTTTCAGCAATTTTCCTATTTATCTATCCTTTTTCATGACTATTGCCTTCTCATTATTCAAGTGCTAAACCAGGGATCTGGTTTAATTCAAGATATGAGAGAAGTCATCTTTGTTGGGTGAAATTCAAAAAGTTTAGAAAGAAAATAAACTCAGATCATTACAAATCCAAAAAAAAAAAAATTGAATTGTCCAGAGTTACACAGCTAGTAAATATCTGAGGCCGGATCTAGGTTTAGCATTCTGTCCACTGTGCCACCAGAGTGCAGTACTCTCTACCATTTTAGCCAAGCAGCCTGACTGGCTCACATTCACATTATCAGGACAAATGACTAATAGGCATTTTTATTTTTTTTTTCTTTTCTTCCTTCCTTCCTTTCTTGCTTGCTTGCTTTGGTTTTGGAGGTAATTGGGGTTAAGTGACTTGCCCAAGGTCACACAGCTAATATCTGAGGTCAAATTTGAACTCAGGTCCTACTGACTCTCCGGCCGGTACTCTATCTACTGTGCCACCTAGCTGCCCATAATAATAATAACTAACATTAATAATAACTCCTTAATAGGTATTTTTCAAAATCAGTCTCATATAACAAGTATTACAGTAAGGCACTTGGATTAATGACCTGCTCAGTTACTCTTGGATGTTAAATGAAGGATAAGAAATATTCTTTTTCCTGATTTGACCCCACCTCTTCTACTTTAAACATGCAACTGGTAGGTTTCTGAGTAAGAACTTGAACTTGCCTTCCTGCATCTGAACCCGGCTCTCTAACCAATACACCAGGCTACTTGTCTGGATAGCTATAATGTCTAGCTTCTATCCTTTGGCATTTGACGAAGGCAGTTCAAATGGTTCCAAAGCACTTTCTTTCATCAACTTTTTCTGGCTTTCTTAGAGGTGTTCCCCTCTGACCAATCAGCTGGTGAGTACATGGGTGTTCTCTGAAGAATATGGTGCGCTATTGGTATTCAGTGAAGTCAACCTATAATAACCCTGATTTTAAACTCATTCATTGCATAATCATCACAACTATTTACTTTCAGAAAGGATTTTCCTCACTATAGATTCAGGCTGCTAGGCTGTTTTTGTAAGTTGTATTGCCTTAAACAAATTACAGACTCAGTGGGTCTCAGTTTTCTTATCTGTCAAATGGGGGAGGTAGACCAGCTGATCCTCTTTAACTCTAACATTATATGATTCTATGTTATTTTGGTTTTTTGTAATGGTGATCTTCCTAAAGACTAACTTTATTTTCTCATAGTTCTCGTGAATGGAATTCTGTTAACTCATCTGAGCAAAAACGCCTATGCCATTCTGCTCTTGATGATGGAGAATTCTGGTATGGTACTTATGTCTAATGCTATTAAACAATCCCAATTATCTTTAAGGAAGGTGGTATTCTTTACACAGCTCCCCTGTATGCAACATAATTTCATTCGTGTCATTCATTCAACGATCATTTATACATGTATACACATCTTTCTAGGAGAAAAGAAAAAAGCATTTATTAAGTGCTTACTAGGCACTGTTAAACGCTTTCCAAATATTATCTCATTTTATCCTCACAACAACCCTGGGAGGTAAGCGCTATCACTGTCCCCATTTTACAGTTGAGGAAAATGAGGCAGATAGATGTTAAGTGACTTTCCCAGGGTCACACAGTTAGAACATGTCTGAGGCTGGATATGAACTCAGGTCTTGCTGACTCTAAGTATAGCATTCTATCCACTGAGACACCTCGTTGCCCCTAAAATTACTAGACTATAATCTATAGATAGGCATTTTAGAGACCTTCTGCTCCAGTTCCTTTGTTTTGTGGATGAGAAAATGGAAGCTTAGAGAACTTCAGTGACTTCTCCAAGGTTACGTGGTTGAGGAACAGTGCTGGGATTCAGAGCCAGGTTCTCTGCTTCCAAATCCAGGGCTCTCCCTGCTGTATGATACTGCTGATTCCATGCATTCTTCCTTGCATGTAGTAGGCACTTAATTATTGCTATTGATCACTTCTGAGTGATCTTCCCTCTCTTCCATATCTTACATTGTATAGTTCTATTAACTTAGTTGCTGCTGCTGTGGTTTTCTTCTTAAAAAAAAAAAGGAGGGGGGGATTTTATCTTCCTATAGTTCTTCTGAGTGGAGTTTTGCTGATTCAACCTGAGCAAACAAAAACAAAGTTCATCCTCTTCTGTATTTTGGGGAGTTTGGGGCAAATATCAAGAAAGACTTAAAATTGACTGACCCAAAACCAGACCAAAAATGGAATTGGCTCTTTCTTTCCTTGTGGATAGGTTTTATTAATTCATTATAGTGGGATCTTGACACCTAGGTATATCACCTTGGTTAAGACTAAACAGCAATTAGAGTTAAGGATGTGGGTTCATTACCTGAACAATCCAATTAGTATTTCACAAAGAAATGCTTAATTCTATGGATATGCCCTCCCCCCCATTCTGTCTAACCTTCTGGCAAAGGTAGGTCATGTGTAACAAAGTTTGTTGAAGAGAGTGTGGATTGATCAAAGTAAATCCATTACCACTACTACACAAATAGCTATGTCTTGCCACTAGGGGTCAGGTCAGTATAATTTTCATATTTTAAGCACAGCATTGTTCTCACAATACTTTTTCTCCAAAATGATTCAGGAATTCAACTAAATGCTTCTAAGTGTGGCCAGAGGCCCCTGGGATATTAGGTGTGAATTTCAGAAAGCTGAAAACAATAAGAAAATAAATAGAATGAGACACATGAATCAAGAAAAATAGAGCCTTTTTACCAAGGGCCTTCCTTCTCTATGGTGACTTGTGAGTCTGAGGTATTTAAAACAAGTTCCACCGGTTTTATGTCATTGCAACACCTCCTGTTTCTATTGTCTCCTTTCCATTTAAGTGGTTATAAAACCCCAAATATGGCACCCATCTGTTCATTCCCATGGGTGTCACTGCTTGTGAAAGGTCAGTTTGGAGTTCCCGTTGCATGATGCCTGGTGCATTGCATGATTGCCCTCGGTGTGTACAGTGAGTGCTAGGGGTCCTCGATGATACAGAAAGACAAAAGAGAGGGTAATGCATCCTATAGATGGATTATCATTATCTAGGGGCTCTGCCACTGACAAGAGAAGAGATCTGGGTAACGCTTTTCTTTTCAGGATGACTTTTAAGGATTTCAAAGTCCACTTTGACAAAGTAGAGATCTGCAATCTCACTCCTGATGCCCTGGAGGAAGATGCCCTTCACAAATGGAAAGTGACAGTCCATCAAGGGAGCTGGGTCCGGGGATCCACGGCTGGAGGATGCCGTAATTTCCTAGGTCAGTGGTCTGCCCTCCCGCCCTCTTTTCTTGTGCTTTGGAGGTTCAGCCCTTCAATCCAGGGGCAGAGTCAGAGGCATCTGAGAACCATAAGGGGTCATCTGCGAGGCAAGACTGAGGCTGGTATCATGGCGGAGGCCATTCCATTGAAGCTGGAGAACATGGATTTATGATTAAGTGGGAGAAATCAGAGACTGAGTGAGTAATTAGGGAAGAGTTGTACACGGAGGCTTCCGGACAAGAGCAGAGTCTCTTTCATCTGTCCTTTTCTTTCCATTAACACCACAATCACTTTAGTTGACTTAATCACCTCTCACCAGGACTGTTATAATGAAGACCTAACTGATCTCCAGCCTCTAATACGTCCCCTTCCACTGCCCAGATGCCAAATTGATATTCCCAAAGCACTGGTCTGACCCTGTTATGTTCTTGCCCCTCAAATTGCAGCAACTCCCTGTTACCTCTAGGTCAGAGGATAAAATGCACATTCCTTTATTCAGTATTGAAAGTTTTTCATAATCTGATTCTATTGTGCCTTAGTAGGCTTATTTCCCATTACTTTCCTTCACACACTAAGTTCTGGCCAAACTGGATCACGTGCTCTTCCTCATAAACAAGATTCTATCTCCTGTCTCCATCTCTTTGCACTGGCTGTCCCTCATTGCTGGAATGTATTCCCTCTTCACCCTCTTACAAGCCCATGTTGTTGTTCAGTTGTGTCCAACTCTCCATGACTCCATTTGGGGTTTTCTTGGCAAATCTAATGGAGTGGTTTGACATTTCCTTCTCCAGATCATTTTACAGATGAGGAAACTGAGGCAAACAGGGTTAAGTGACTTGCCCAGGGTCACACAGCTAGGCAGTGTCTGAAGCCAGATTTGAACTCAGGAAGAGGCATCTTTCTGACTCTAGGCCCAGCATTCTGTGCACTATGGCGCCACCTAGTTGCCCTTTAGAAGCCCTAGTTTCCTGTAAAGCCCAGCTTAGCTGTTTACCACCTATACAAGACTTTTTCTGATTCCTCTCTTGCATGCTAGTACCTTCCCTACTCCTTCCCAAATACTTTGCATTAATTTTGCATCTGCTTATATGTAAACTGTTGCTTCCCCTGATAGAATGTAAGCCCCTTAAGGACAGGGATTATCTCATTTTTGTCAGCATCCCTAGTACCTGGCCCAAGGGTTGGCACGTAGCAGGTACTTCATAAAGCCTTGTTGATTCATTGGAGAGAGGCCAGAAAGAAGAAAGGGGAGGAGGGTGTTTAGCACACTAGAGGAAGAGGGTATATGGAATTTAGAATAGTGCTTCTAAGTGCTTCAGAGGAAGAAGAAAAGAAAGGACCAGCAAAATGGAATGTTGGAGGAGCGCACAGGAAACAGGCCTAGAGGGCAGAATAGAGGGCACAGAAGACAGTGAGATGGATAGAGTGGAGTGGAGATGGAGTCAGATGTGGGACAAATGATATTAGGACTCTTTGTTCTTTTGTTTTGCTCAAGGGGAAAACAATTTTTCTATCTGTCAAATGGCAGACACCTTCTGGACCAACCCGCAGATCAAATTGTCTCTGACTGAGAAAGATGACGATGGGCAAGAGGAATGCACTTTCATTGTAGCCCTTATGCAAAAGGACAGAAGGAAACTCAAGAAATTTGGAGCTGATTTGCTGACTATTGGATATGCTATTTACCAGGCAAGTTCTGCCCAGGTTCCAAAGGCTGACCAATGGTAATGATTTACTGTAGTTGTTATGCCAACTCATGACACTGTCTTCTTGGGCTTGGAGGATACAATCAATCTGCATCAGTCGAGAATATGTCTCCCCGTGAAATCATGATTCTTTTGAAAAACTGAAGTTTTATCCAAAATGCTCTTCACAAATGATTGCCCATTTTCTAAGTACCCATTGTCTAATAAACAGGTCTATGCACTAAATGTGGCATTGGGGCAGTGGGTAGACAGAGAAGACTTGACAAAATTGCCTTAAATTCCTTAGAGGAAAAGCTTAACAACTTATTTCATTACTTACTCATACAGATCCCAAAAGAGACTGTTCTCTCTACTTTCCCAAATCTTACTTCTGCAAATCAGGAGAGGGTCCAATAATTTGGGTCTTATACCATAGCTTTCTCTCAGTCTTTCCCTAATGTATAATCTAAACTGCTAACTGCAAAGTAATATCAACTGGCATTTCATTATTGGAGAAAGTATCTCATGAAAGATAAATGAAGCTTTTACTCACTTATACATTTAATTTGTTTTTTACACATTGACCCAGAGTATACCTACATGCTTTTTCTTTTAAAAAAATCATTTTAGGGTTACATATTATATTTTGGGGTGAACTATATTTGGACTAATACAGTAATTAACCAAGGCAATAAAGTAAGGTGGTAGTAATCTGTCTCTAGATGTAAATAAATGAGATGGAACAACTTGTGGTTCTCAAAGAATAAGCTTCAGGTCCTCATTTACTCTACAAGGGCTTCCCTGCAGGCTGATTGGAGTTTCCATGATCCTTAATTGTCAGTGACTTTGCTTTTATTTCTGATGATGATTAATAATTTACTTAGGATATTTCAGAAAAGTCAGACAACACCTCACTGCTATCTTGTCAGAGGCAGAATCCACTCATTCTCATTAAGCCTAACAAGTTCATTAGAATGTGAATTCCTTGAGCAGGAACCATGTTTTTACCTTTCTTTACTCCCAGCACTTTGCACAATGCCTGGCACAAAGTAAGAGTTTAAGAAATGTTGTAGATTGTTGACTTATTGACTAAGTGACAGATAATATTTGGAAGGTAGGTAAGAGAAGCTCAACAGGGTCTTTCACTCCAATAAAGTGGAAGCAATGAAAAGGGACAAGAAACCAGAATCAGTGACATGGAGATAGCCTTGAACAGGATGGAGCTGATAACATGCAGACATATGAGTGGGAAACCTTCTGTGCAAGGTTCCAAAGCACTCTAAATGGAGTTTGACGGGGGAGGCTTTTGGGGGGCAAGAGGATTCAGAAGTACACATGCTCAGATCATGTGAGTATCCCAAAGGTTAAACGTAATTCTATGCTATCCTTTAAGCAAATTCCCCTTTTCGGTTTCTATTTTAGAGCCCTGCCAAAGAGGAGCATCTCACCAAGGATTTTTTCAGATATCATGCTTCTCAGGCCAGGAGCAAAACATATATTAACCTAAGGGAAGTCTCTGAGAGATTCAAGCTGCCCCCCGGAGAATACATCCTGATTCCTACAACTTTTGAGCCACACCAGGAAGCCAATTTCTGCCTTCGAATCTTTTCAGAGAAGAAGGCCATTACCCAGTGAGTAACAAATTATTGCTATATTAATAACGAAAATATGAGCAGCTAGGTGGATAGAGCACTGAGCTTGGAATCAAGAAGACTCATCTTCATGAGTTCAAATCTGGCCTCAGATATTTACTAGCTGTGAGACCCTGGGCAAGTCACTTAACTGTTTGCCTCAGTTTCTCATCTGTAAAATGAGCTAGAGAAGGAAATGGCAAACCACTCCAGTATCTTCGCTGTGAAAATCCCAAATAGAGTCACAAAGAGTCTGACACAACTGAAAAACAACTGAACAACAACAATGATGATGATGATAATTGTAATCAAAATCATAATTAGCAACTTATGCACTAGGAACAAGAAATACAGAACATTCCCGGGGCAGGCAGCAGGAAAGAGGCCCTTGAATCAACTTTTAAAGATAATCCATGTGAAGGATGGATTGATAGCTTTCTTGTAGCTCCCTATTTGAACTAATTATTGAGAATCAGCCTCTATAAGGGGTAGAGAGCTGGCCTTGGAGTCAGGAAGAGCCAAGGTTCAGGTCTTTCTCTGAATTACATGAGATAGCATAATTAACGTACTATATAAATGATAGCTATTACTATGTATAGTGCTTCATAAATCTTAACGTGCCATATAATTGCTAGCTATTATAAATGCTACCTATTATTATATCAGCCATGTGACCCTGGGCCATTTAGAGCAACTCCCTCATTTTATAGATGAGGAAAGTAGACCCAAGTGACTTGCCCAGAGTAAATGTAAGAGGTATGATTTGAAGCCAGGTCCACTGACTTCATAATCAGCACTCTTTTTACTGTACTGGGAGTTATACCAATGAGCATCGGACCTGGAATCAGGAAGACTCATCTTCATGAGTTCAAATCCAGGCTCAGACACTTACTAGCTGTGTGGTGCTGGACAAGTAACTTAACCATGTTTGCCCTAGCTCCCCATCTGTAAAATGAGCTGGAGAAGGAAATGGCAAATCACTCCAGCATCTTTGCCCAGAAAACCCCAAAATGGAGGTCCAGAAACCATCATCATCACTATCTTTGCCATCATCATTTAGTTAGATGCTAAATTTGGTTGTTCCTAGCAACTGAAGGGGAAAAGAGTACTGTCAGCTTTCTAAATTTCAGAGTGCTGGGGCAAAGATATTGTGCTGCCTAAGCAAAATGATAGCATGTATAAGACTCATTAAGGTTTACTTATCCCTTTATTAGCTCAGTTAGCCCTGATAGCAACTCTGTGGTTAAGTCCCAGAACCAAGAAGCCATACTCTAAATCCACTTTTTATGATTCTGTTCCTATGGAAATCATCTTAGTTTCACAGGTAAGGGATTATCAGAGCAATGATAGTTCCTTTACCATGATTAACATGATTGTTGTTGTTATTGGTGGTGGTGGTTCTCCATGTTCAAAGAGAACCAATGACATCATGGGTGATGTCTTGACTTGTGCATGAATCAGATTTAAGTGAGGCAGAACAATTTGTTCCAACGGCCATGAAGGCAACTGTTACTTTGGGGTGTTTCACCAGTGGTGGAAACAGTGACGTGCAGCAGTATAAGCTTAAATTCTGCCTTCCTCCTAACCCTCCCACTCCAACCTTGTTCCAATAAACTTTGTGAAGGGTCTCCAATACACCACATCAAAAAACACTTTCACCAAATACCCTGAGGAGGGACGGTTCCTTCTTGGTGCCAACAGCAAAGCACTATGGGGATTGGTTTAATGATTTGTAGTAGTGGAGGTCCCAGAAGAATACTCCTGGGAATTCTCCCTGCAACTTCCTTCAGACCATTTAGGTGACAACCTAAGTTTATCTGATACCTGTCTTAGCAAGCACGTTTTGCTTCAATTGGCGGTTATGGAGGAGCTTCCTGTTTTGACCACTCACCCCTGTGACCTGGACCAATGATGACAGTAACTGACATTTGTAGTTTACAAGGCAGTTGTCATATTTTATCTCGCTTGATCCTCACAACCCTCTGAGGCAAGTTAGCCATGCATCTTATCCTCATTTTATAGATGTGGGACCTGAGTTTCAAAGAAGAGAAATAATTTTCCCACAGTCACACTGTTAATAAGTTTTAGAACTAGTACTCAAACATAGGACCTTTATACACTGTGTGACTTTGGTGGAAGTCCAGGTCTCAGTTTCCTCATCTGTACCATGAGTTATGTTGTAGTGTGATGAAAACAGAATCAGACTTTAGAATAGGGGACGATCTGGGTTTGAATCCTGCCTCCTGGCTGAACAACAGCAGAGAGAAGCTGGACCTGTGATTTCAATGGTAGAGGGAGCTCCAAGACACAAAAATTCCCTCTACCAATACAGCTTTCTCTGAAGTGCTTAGTCTTAGAAAGATGCCTAGAGCACCAAGGGAGTAAATGACTTGCCTAGAGGCCTGCTGCCATTATGTATAAGAGGCAGGGTTTGAACCCAGGCCATCCTCACTCCAAGGTCAGCTCTCCATTATCCACTACCATGTGCTGCCTCTCAGTGGCTGAGTGCCCATGGACAAATCATTAAATTTCTCTGAACCTCAGTTTCCTTACTTGTAAAGTGGGTATAATCATACCTAAGTAGCTGTATCACAGAGTAGTCTGAAGGACCAAATTGGGTAATGCATGCGAATTGCTATGTAAATTTCAGTTTTCATTATCTGCAAGATCATTTCCAGTGCTAAATCTTATGATCCTAAATCCAGAGCTATAATTCCAACATCATAGGCAAAGAAACAACCTAGTATAGAGGAGGATATCTCATTCACAGTTGGCTTACATTCCAGAGATCCATGCAAACAACAAAATGTCCATAAACATCTGGTTATTGGAGTCCCTTATGAATATTTTTAATGTTGTCTCTGTCTCCCTCCGAGACAACACAGACACACAGAAAGACAGACAGACAGAAGAAATGGAGACAGAGAAAGAGACAGAGAGAGAGACAAAAAGAGAGACAAAGACAGACAAAGGAACAGAGAGAGAGAGAGAGATGTGTGTGTGTGTGTGTGTGTGTGTGTCCTCTGCTCAGACTCTAGTTTATTCTCCAATGCCTTTTTCACTTTCCTCAAACAGACTGGAAGCAAATAGATAGCTAGACCTCAACAAATAAGCTAAAGTAAGTTATAGGCATAGATTTAGAGCCAGAAGAGACCTCAGAGATTAAGTAGTCCAAACTTTTCATATACAAATAAGGAAACTGAAGAAGAAATGACTTACCAAGGATCATCCAGGTGGTAAATGACAGGAGTAGAATTTGAATCCAAGTCTTTGCTCCAGGATCAATGTTCTTTCTATTGTACTCTGCTGCCTCTGGTATGTGAATAATTATGACATATATTCATATATCACTTTACATTTTGCAAAGAAATTTTCTTCAAAATGACTCTTTGATGGTAGACATACACGTATTATACCCATTTTGACAAATGAGGAAATTGAAGCTCATAGAAATACTGATAGTCATATAGCCACTAAGACTCATAACAGGACTCCACATTTTTCACCCCAAGCTCAATGCCCATGCAACTATTCCATACAGAAGTTCTTACGAAACCTTAGTAGTTTAATGTAATAAACAAATTTCTCATGTATCCCTTCTTGAAGTAGCAGAACCTCAAATAGGAAGGGCATGATGTTCTGGTAATCCATTGGTCCCAAGAATCCAAAACCTTCCAAAGATTGTTTGGGCCATAGCTATGCCCGTGATTGTGGTACAGTGGAAAGATCCCTGAAGGACTTCAATGACCTGGGGATTAGTTCCACCTCAACTAGCTGTGTAACTGTCAGTAAATTACTTCATCTCTTCAGACCTATTTCCTCATTAGAAAAATGGAGATCATTAGACCTGTTCTGATAACTTCACAGCTATTATAAAGATCAAATGAGATCATGGATGTAAAAAAGCTTCATAAATTGTAAAGGATTATACAAATTAAATGTATTAATACAAGCAAGAGCTTGTTGGCCCACAGCTAATCTATAGAACTCTTAGCCTCTCTCTTCCCAAAGTATCCAAAGACTTTGAAGAATGTGGCAAATGTTTAAAAGGAAGAGACCTTCTCAATGGGTCACAGTGCTGAAGGGAGTATGACGTAGCAGAGATAACTATTGCAATGGGTTATAATTAAATCAAGTGTTTTCTAATTCCACAGGGAAATAGATGGAAATATAGATATTGCCCTCCCAGAGGTAAGTCTTTAAAGTAGTATGTGTTTTTAAGGAGTTCTAGAACCCAGTTGATAATTGGGGGGAGGGGAGAATCAATCATGTGACTTTTAATCATGTGACTGGCTAATATTTTAATGTTAATACAGTGTCGTGTATAGAGCACTAGATCTAAAATCAGGAAGTCTTGGATTTCAGTCTCCCAACTGACATCTATTTATTAGCTATGTGGCCACTAAAATTCACATAATCACTCTGAATGGCATTTTTGCATCTACCCCCCCCTTTTTTTCATTTCATCAGGCTGTTTCCTCCTTTCTACCTTTATTCACAATTTCTTTAATGTTTTCAAGCCCCTTATTGGGATTGAAGAAAGGACATGTCCAGCCTCCATTGCTCCCACTTTTTTGTGCTTCTTTCTTCTAACCCCAATAAATTTAATAAGCAGGCCCATGAGAGAGATCACTGGAGTGTCAGAGAAGACCTATCACACCGTTCTGAAACCATTCCTCCAACACTTTCTGTTTGTCCTAACAGTACACCTGAAACTTTATTCTGAGTTGACTTTTCTGCTTCCATTCTAACACCACCAACCCCTTCCCAACCATGGGTACATCTGGAAGTAGCTGGAACAGGCTTGCACAACATATGGTCCAGGGGCCGCTTGGGAGGTCCACAAAAATGTAGAGGATATAAAAGAAAGTAAAGATATAATGTGTGCTTTGTCTGTGCCCCGCATAACCTGCCTTCCACTCATCACTATTGTGCCTGTTATGTAACTTGGCAGGTGGGTTGCCACTGCGCATTCTCTCCTGTTTGTCATGTGACCCACAGCAACAAACCATCATCAGTCTCTCTAGTCTGAGAAGAGCAATTTCATGATAAGTAAAAGTCTTAATAAGTGTAATTAATTGATATAATTGAAATTTCCCTTTTTAAAATACGGTTTTTTGCAAAATAGTTTAATCATTAATTATACCTTTACTTGGAAAGTGAGCTGCTAAAAACCTATCTGCAGCCTAAAGAAGTTTAGCCTGTTTTAATTTTGGCCCCTGCCTACTGCCAAGTTGTGCAGGTCTATATTAGAACGTCACCTGGTTGATTCAAGAGCCACATTCTCTACCAGCAGTCTAAATTGGGCAGCTCAGAATGAACTCTTTCTGTAAAAAGGATTTCAAACATATTTTTCCTAAATCTCAGAGTATACTTTTGTTTTTTTTCTAGCTGTCTAAACCAACTTCACCTAGCCAAGAAACCGAGGAAGATAAACAGTTCCGGGCACTGTTTGAACAGATTGCAGGAGAGGTAAAAGAGAACGAATATATTTAAATTCAAGCAAAAATAGCATGTATTTAGACTTCTAACCTGGGAAAAGAGTCATAGGATTGGATCACTTTTATTTCTTGCCCTGCTTTTAACATGGTAGGATTTGGAGGAGAAGGGCATTTTGCCTTTCTTTCCCAGTCTTCTTAGAAATTTCATTGGTAATAATACAATTTGTTAGCCTGAACCTTGACAGGAAGATTGTGAAGTTTAATGAATGTTGTAAAAGCAGGCACTGAGATAGATGACCAGGTGGCCACATGTATGGTGCTGTAATTTGAGAGGTTCTTATTTTAGCATGGTGTCAAACTGAAACAGAAATGGGGACAACTAATTTGTACGTAAGGATCCCTATGGGCCTCTAATTAACTTAGTTTTAAAATGTAATATTGATCTGACCAGCCACAGTCAGACACGCTGAACCTTGACTCCAACACAGTGATGTCATTTTGGTCCTCTTTGAGAACAAAGGACAACAACCAACCAACCATTTATGTTGTTAAATATTCCCAATTACATTTTAATCTAGTTTGGGCTGTGCTGTGGAGTGTTGGTGGTCACATGTAGGCTGTAGGCTGAATATTTGACACCTCTGCTACAAAAGACTCATCTAAAAGACTAAAATTATTTCTTACAATTATTTAACAGCAAAATTTATGCTGAAATTCCCATCCTAAGTATCATTTCTTTGGGCTAAGGCATTGTTTCTTCAGGAGGCCCCTGAAAAGGGTACAACTCATTATTCTATTAATACATTAGTAGGAATTAATCACTTAGTAAACTTCAAAAAGAAAAGCTCTATGGTATTGCCTAGTTTCTAAGAATTAACAAAACAATGAAAATTTTTAATATTCAAATGTGCTCAGTATGATTTCGTCTTTTTCTTTTCTTTTTTTTAAGCACAGGAAACACTTCAGAATCTTGTAAAGGCTACCAGGTCATTAAAGTGAAGGGTAGTTATTATTTGCTCTTTTATCTGTATCCTACTTCCCCCATTCTGTTGCCACGTCTCTTCCAGTTGCCTTGTGCCCTTATAATGGACACTGGCTGTTCATACCCTTCCCATACGTTCACACACACACAACTTTCATGAAAGTCCTCAAGGTATAATGCCTCATGCTTTGACTCCCTCCACGCTCCCTTTCCAATCTTAACTGTTCTCTCCCAGTCTCTCAGTTGAGAAGAATATCATCTTCTCAACTAGCTGTGATAGTAGTGCTTGTGACCTACTAAACAATTTATACTGGATGTTAATGACTAGTAACTACTTCATATGGTACCTCCCAAGGGAGACTGTCATTTTAAAATAAAGAAGCAGCTGTGATATAACAGAAAGAACAATGAAATTAGAGTCAAAAGACCTAGAAATGAAATTAGAGTCAAAAGATACCAGTTTTGGGTAAGGCCCTTAATCTGTTTCTCCATCTATAAAATGGGGAAATAATACCAGTATTGTCTACCTCACAGGGTTGTCATAAAAATCAAATAAGGTAAGTATGCAAAATCACTTTGAGAATTATAAAGCACTCTAAAAATGGCAATGTCTTAACCCCAAGGAATGAATTGCAAATAGTGGAATTGCAGATAACATTGCAGACAGATGAGAATTTTTTTTGTTTTTGTTTTTTGTGGGGTGCAGAAATAGGCCAGGCCTTCTTAATTTCCCTTAAATCAATTTCCATTCAATCAAAAGCTCTTAACTTTTCTGTACCTTTGACCCCCTTGGTAGTCTAGTGAAGTCAATGGCTCCTTTCTCAGAATAATGTTCTCAAATGCATAAAATAAAATACATAGAATTACAAAGGAAAATACTGTCATCAAAAAAAATTTTTTTAAATTCATGGTCAAAATTTACCTAGTCACGTGACCTTTGGTAAGTCGATTTCACTAGACCTCACTGAAAAAATGAGTGGGTTGAATCAGATGACCTTCTGAGGTCCCTATGAATTCTAACATTTTCTACTTAATCTTTGCGTTGAACTGGTCCTCTTTCAAAGAGATTTAATGTTCCACAAAATGATGAGGCCAGGAAAGTGCAAAGTGCTGAAGGGCCTAATTCTTCCATAGGGAGTAAGTAAAACTTGGCTCAGTAATTTAATATACTTGGGCCAAAGACATCTGGAATCTCTTTCCTTTAAACATAGAAGATGTTAAGGTCTGGGAAAAGCAATTGTCTCTATTTTCAACAGGACATGGAGGTAACTGCAGAAGAACTGGAATATGTTTTGAATGCTGTGCTACAAAAAAGTAAGTGTCCAAACCAGTCTCTTCTATTCCAGGATGCAATTAGCACAGGAATATTTATCACTGTGCCATGTTTTCTAATGTGTCTTTTTTTTAGTTTCACCTTTGCTCTCACTGTGTCCTTAGCTGTTTTCCCTGAGATTTTACACACATTTTTGAGATGTCCTGATGTGTACTTGCTCTTTTGTAATCTCAGGACTGAGTGGGGGATTTTGTTGTCATTTTTGTTTTGTGTGTGTTTGCAGAAAAGAACATTACATTCAAGAAGCTAAGTCTCATTTCCTGCAAAAACATCATTTCTCTAATGGATGTATCCTTTCAAATGCATAGGTAGAAATCAGTGTTTTTGTCCCTAAGCCCCTTCCTAGCTCTACAGGTACAAAGAAGAATGAGAGACAATGGTAGGCAATGGGAAAAGTGGTGACTTTGGGGCCAGAGGAGCTTGATCAGAACTCTGGGCCTGATATTTACTATTCATATGAGCATAGGAAATCTACTTGGCCTCTCCAGAACACAGTTTTCTCATCAGTAAAGTGATTCAGTGATCCCTAGAATCTATTGACACTCCAGATCTATGAGGACCATCTTTTTCCTGTTCTGAATTATGTCCAAGAGGTAACACAAGCAAAACCCACCCAGCATCCATCAGAAGTCATGTCCCAATAAAGCCACATGGAAGAATTTTGTAACCAATGGATCTCCAGAAATATTTATGGGACATATAAAAATATAAGTAGAGCAGCTAGATGGTGCAGTGGATAGAGCACCGGCCCTGGTTTCGGGAGGACTTGAGTTCAAATCCGGCCTCAGATACATAATACTCACTAGCTGTGTGATTCTGGGCAAGTCACTTAACCCCAATTGCCCTCACCAAATAAATAAATAAAAATATGAGTAGTTTGATGGGGGATCCCAGCTGGGGCCTGGGACCCTAAATGAGGTCATATCAAACAGGTTTATTTCCTTGTTCTTAAAGAATGAAAAAAAAATTACCTAGAAGAAGACAAAAAGATCATAGACGTGCAGGGAGAAAGGGGATGTTTTAAAATAAAATTTTAATGACATCCTTTGTTTTTATATTACCCATTTTTCTTGCTGTATATCTCTGACTTTAAAAAGACAAAGAGTTCTTTTACTACTTAAGAATACTGATAATAGGGGCAACTTGGTGGCACAGTGAATAGAGTTCTGGCCTTGGAATCAGGAGGACCTGAGTTCAAATCCAGCCTCAGATACTTAACACTTACTAGTTGTGTAACCCTGGGCAAGTCACTTAACCCCAATTGCCTCATGAAAAATACTGATAATAGGATCAGAGAACTTTTTTTTTAAAATGTGTTTTTTATAAAACTATTCTCCTATTTCCTCTTCTCTGATACAAAGGATTTTCTCTTAATTCTTAAAACTCTTGAAAACTTAAAAAAATTCTTAAAACTCTTAATTTCTTCACCCTGGGTTTCCACAGAGGAGTGCTCTTCCTCCCCATCATACCATTCCTTCTAAACAGACTACAAATTTGAAATTCCACAAGAGCCCTCTGACCTCGTGACCTCTGCTCATATTCTTTCTTGACACACGTTGTTACCTCCAGAACAATGGCAATGGAAAACTGGAGTTCAATGAATTCAAAGTATTCTGGAACAAGCTGAAGACATGGATAGTATGTAACTCCCATTATTGTGTGCTTGTGTGACACCTCACTATTTATTCCTGCTCTGGGGTTTTACTTCCCCACTGTAAATTTAAAGGGGCCAAGCAGCCCCTTTGGATAGTTATAGAGAAGAAATTATAACAAAATCAATTACTCCTTATAAGGGTGGGGGTGAAAGGAATCTCCTCTTAGAGAAAATTGTTCAGCTATTAATTATTTGAGGACATCAACATACCCTTACAGAAGATTTTCTCTTCCCAACCCCTACCTAAAGTCGTGACTACATCAAGTGAGAGGAAGAGTTGGCCATCACCCAGATAATATTATGAATGGTACCAGTTGGGTGCCATCTTTGAAAGAGCCAAAAGGTTAGCTTCTGTTGTAGAGGGGAGGATTTTGGTTCAATGTAAGCAAACACTCAGGGCAGCTGGTGGCATAGTGGGTGGGGCCTGGAGTCAGGCTTCCCAAATTCAAATCTAGCCTCAGACACTTACTAGCTGGGTGCCCCTGGGCAAATTACTTAACTCTTGTTTGCCTCAATTTACTCATCTGTAGAATGAGCTGGAGAAGGAAATGGCAAACCACTCCACTATCTTTGCCAAGAAAAGCCCAGATGGGGTCACAAAGAGTTGGGCATGACTAAAATGACTGAACCAAAGCAAACACATCCTGACAACTAGAACAATCTCACAATGGAATGGGTGACCACAGAAAGTAGTGAGTTTTCCTTCATTAGTGGCCTTCAAGTGAAAAGAGGCAATGTGGTACAGCAGAAAGCACACTGAATTTGGTGTCAAAGACTGAGTACAAATTCCTGCTCCCTGACATCACCTGGGGAACTTAGGCAAGTCACTGACCTCTCTGGGGTCTCAGTTTCTTCTCTGTAGAATGAAAGAGTTAGACAAGATGGACTATGACGTTCTTCCAGCTCTAGAACCGTGATCCTATGATTTCTTCTGAGTTTGACATTCTGTAATTCCTTCCTGCATAGAATATCTTCCTTCAATTCGATGTTGACAGATCCGGAACCATGTCCTCCTACGAGCTGCGGCTAGCCTTGAAAGCTGCAGGTAAAATAGAAGCATTTTGGCTTTTAACGAGGGGCACCAAGGGAAGACGATGAGTGGGTAGGAATGGGAGCTGTGTTGAGGAAAGGCAGAACGAAACAATGACACGGCAAGAATAAACTCACTCTGAACCAAAGGGGGTGTCACACCCCCATTTCTGCCTGCTGCTCTCAGACTGCATGGAGCTCAAGCCATGCAGCCCGTGGCTCCTCTAATTTTTGTATTAGGACGTTCACACTTGTTACTCTAGACTCCAGAGCATCCCACAGGCATATGGCCCTCTGGGTTTGGTTAATGGTAATCACAAAGGTAGCTGCAATGTAGCACAATTGTGCATGACTGTGTTATCACTGAGGCCATCCCACTATCTTTGACATCAGAAGAGTGTGAACTCTATGGCTCTTGCCCCTGAACAGGCAGTAGAATTTCGGGTAAGTCATTTTATCCCTTCACGTTTTACTTTCCTTAGGTGGCACAATGGCAATAGGGCTAGCTTTGGAGTCAGAGGACCTGGGTTTAAACCCTGTCTCTGATACCATATGACCTTGGGTTAGTCACTTAAATTCTACAGGTCTCAGTTTCTGTAAAATCTGTAAAATGAAGGGACTGGACTAGATGGTTTCTGGGGTCCCTTCCAGCTCTAATTCTATGCTCTTATGGTATTGGTCAAATAATATTTGTAAAGCTCTTAGCACAGCGGCATATGGTTAAGAACTATATTATATTATGGACAGCTAGGTGGTGCAGTGGATAGAGTGCCTGGTCTGGAATCAAGAAACCTTGAGTTCAAATTTGCCTTTAGACCCTTACTAGCTGTGTGACCCTGGGGAAGTCTCTTAACCCTGTTTGCCTCATTTTCCTAATATGTTAAATGAACTGGACAAGGAAATGGCAAACCACTACAGTATCTTTGCCAAGAAAACCCCAAATGGGTTCACAGAGTCAAACAATACCACATAATATATTATTAGTGGAATTTCAAATACCATGGCAAGCACATGAGAATGTTTTGGGTTTGGCGGAGGTGGTGTGGAAATAGGCCTTTTTAACTTTCTTTAAATCAGTTTCCATTAAATCAGGAGTTCTTAACCTTTTCTGTACCTTTGACCCCCTTGGCAGTCTAGAGAAGCTTTCTCAGAATAATGGTTTTAAATGCATAAAACTCTGTTTTACATATGTTATTATTATATAAGTAAAATAATAATATTATAATGCAAGTTATTATTATTATCATTATTATTAATGAAGGTAGTCATTGAGCATCCTCTCTTCTAAGGTATTTCTTAAGCATCATCTAGGTAGAGTGCTAAGCTGGATACTGCACAAAGCAAGTTCGACAGACATGACCCCTGAGCTCTTTAAGAGTTCAGAAGCTGTCTTTCTTCTAGTATTCTTAAAAGGTGAAAATAAAGGAAGGTAGAAAGTCTCAGGAACTTGGTCAGCAGTTTTTGCCTATAGGTAGAGGAGATGTTTACATATCCCAAGATCCCATTACCCTTTTTGTCCCTGAGGATTCTCTTCCAGGGGCAGCAGGCTGTAGGTGGAAGGTCTTTGCAGAGGACAAAGTTAAAGAAACCTGGGTCTTGAATCTGGCAGACAGGAAGGTGTAAAACTATGTTGCTTATGGCCAGGCCTCTCAGATAGGAACTTTATAAAAATGGATACATTGAAGTCTTTTTCCCTCCCTCCTTAACAGTAACTGAGGGGGCAAAAATCCCAGTGATTAGTTGTATACTATATTCTTGTTTACCCATTTGTGACCTTTCCAGCAATTTGCTGAAAGTTGAGAAAGCAGGCAGAAATGAAAGGAGACAAACAACCCACTTTAGCATACATGTGTTGCAGGGCATGTTTAATGTGCATTACTCATTTCTGAAAGTTTGTAAGATGTGTACCAGCAGAGATTCTCCCTAGGAAATGTCTAGCTTTCAGGAGCCTCTGACAGCATCTGACTCCAATGTCCACGGGAAACATCTGCTTACTCTGCAGGTGTCCACAGCTGGAGTACCAGGGATGTTGGTGAATTCTGTATGTTGCCTAGCAACACTTAAATAGGAGCTGGGAAATAACTTGGGATAGCTAACCTGGAACACAGCCTTGGATGTCAGGAGTCAGGACCTTTGTTAAGAGTGTAGTTGATGGGGACAAGCTAGAAGCATTTCCAATAAGATCGGAGGTGAAACAAGGATGTCCATTATCGCCACTGTTATTCAACATCGTACTAGAAACATTAGCTTTAGCAATAAGAGAAGAAAAAGACATTGAAGGCATTAGAATAGACAAAGAAGAAACAAAGCTATCACTCTTTGTAGATGACATGATGTTATACTTAGAGAATCCCAGAGAATCAAGTAAAAAACTACTTGAAATAATAAACAACTTCAGCAAAGTTGCAGGCTATAAAATAAACCCACATAAATCATCGGCATTTCTATGTATTACCAACAAAGCCCAACAGCAAGAGATAGAAAGAGAAATTCCATTTAAACTTACTGTAGACATTATAAAATATTTAGGAGTCTACCTCCCGAAACAAACCCAGGAACTCTATGAACACAATTACAAAACACTTTTCATGCAAATAAAATCAGATCTAAATAATTGGAAAAACATCAGTTGCTCATGGGTAGGCTGAGCTAATATAATAAAAATGACAATTCTACCTAAGCTAATTTACTTATTCAGTGCCATACCAATCAAACTACCAAAAAATTATTTCATAGAGTTAGAAAAAATAATAACAAGATTCATTTGGAAGAACAAAAGGTCCAGAATATCAAGAGAACTAATGAAAAGAAATGCAGGGGAAGGTGGCCTAGCCATTCCAGATCTTAAATTGTATTATAAAGCAGCAATCATCAAAACTGTTTGGTACTGGCTAAGAAATAGAGTGGTGGATCAGTGGAATAGGTTAAGTATGCAAGACACAGTAGTCAATGACTATAGTAATATATTATTTTATAAACCCAAAGACCCCAGTTTCTGGGATAAGAACCCACTCTGACAAAAACTGCTGGGAAAAATGGAAAAGAGTATGGCAGAAACTAGGCATAGGCCAAAATCTCACACCATATAGCAAAAGAAAGTCAAAATGGGTACATGATTTAGATATAAAGGCTGATACCATAAGCAAACTGAGAGAGCAAGGAATAGTTTACCTGTCAGATCTATGGAGAACAGAAGAATTCATGACCAAACAGGAGATAGAGAACATTACGAAAAGCAAAATAGATAATTTTGATTACATTAAATTGAAAAGTTTTTGCACGAACAAAGCCAATGCAACTAAGATTAGAAGGAAGGTAGAAAATTGGGAAAGAATTTTTACAACTAGTCTCTCTGACAAGGGCCTCATTTCTAAAATATATAGAGAATTAAGTCAAATTTATAAGAATACAAGCCATTCCCCAATTGATAAGTGGTCAAAGGATATGAACAGACAGTTCTCAGATGAAGAAATTAAACCCATCTATAGTCACATGAAAAAAATGCTCTAAATCACTATTGATTAGAGAAATGCAAATCAAAACAGCTCTGAAGTACCACATCACACCTATCAGAATGGCCAACATGACAAAACAGGACAATGATAAATATTGGAGAAGATGTGGGAAAACTGAAACACTAATGCATTGTTGGTGGAGTTGTGAAATGATCCAACCATTTTGGAGAGCAATTTGGAACTATGCCCAAAGAGCTATAAAAATGTACATACCCTTTGACCCAGCAATAGCACTTCTAGGGCTATATCCCGAAGAGATCACACAGATGGGAAAAGGACCTACATGTACAAAAATATTCATAGCAGCTTTTTTTCTGGTGGCAAAGAATTGGAAATTGAGAGGATACCCATCAATCGAGGAATGGCTGAGCAAGTTGTGGTACATGAATGTGATGGAATACTATTGTGCTATAAGAAATGATGAACAGGCTGACTTCAGAAAAACCTGGAAAGACTTGTATGATCTGATGTTGAGTGAAGTGAGCAGAACCAAGAGAACTTTGTACACAATAACAGCCACATTGTATGATGACTAATAGTGATAAACTTAACCCTTCCTGGCAATACAAGGATCTAAGACATCTCCAGAGGTCTTGTGATGGAAAATGCTATCCACACCCAAAGAAAGAACTATGGAAGTCGAATTGTTATTTTTTTTTTCTCTTCTGTTGAGTTTTGTTTCCTCTTTCTGATGGTTCCTCCTATTGATTTTAATTTCTACTTACAACATAACTAATGTGAAAATACGTTTAATATGAATGTAAATGTATAGCCTATATCAGATTGTGTGCCGTCTTGGGGAGGGTGGGGGAGAGAAAAGGGGAGAAATATTTTAAACTCAAAAGCATATGGAAGTGATTATTGATAAATCAAAAAAATCAATTAAAAAAATCAATTAAAAAAAAAGAGTGGAATTGAGTTAGATATGGCCACCCAGTTGGATGATACTTCCTGGAAAGTCAAGAGGTCGTAAGGGTGGATACTGGTGTTATAATCTCAATATGACAATACCAAATTCATGAGAGTAGTGGAAAAAACACTGAACCTGAAGTCAGGAGAAGCCTGAGTTTGAATTGCACCTCTGGCACCTAACTAGCAGTGTGACCACGGGCTGTCTCTGAGCCTCAGTTTCCTTATCTGAGAAATGGAGATAATAATTGTACAAACTCTGCAGGGTTGTTATGAGGACCAAAGGAGAAAATATGTGTAAAATGCTTTGCAAACTTTAAATAACAAATGCCTGTCATATTATGATGAGAAGCAGAGAGCTGGCCTTGAAACCAGGAGAACCTGGATTCAAATCTTACCTCTGACAAATACTGGCTATGTGACCCTGGTCTAGGTAGCTCTCTTCATAAAAGGTGTCCCAAGTGCTGCTGAACCAGATTAAAATGAAATTAGGAAGTAATTAGCAAAATAAATAAAAATACAATAGAACATAGATAATGTTAATATGTGGTTTTCTAAGCTAATATAAGGCAGCTAGGATCCTTCTGTAGGGTGTGGGGCCCCTCATTTTATATGAATTTAACATCTGCATTGTAGAGGAGGTGTGGACCTTTATTGTTAGAGGGAGTTCCCTATCTCAATAAAATCAGAAAACTAGCCCCTACCCCTATAATTATCTATCCTTGGAGGTTTTGTGTGCTGGGCTAGACTGTGAGCTGCCCAAATACTGAAACCTAGAGGAAGCTAAAGGATCATGGGGCCTCCTGTCACAAGATCAGTTAATAAATAGCACCATCCCTGACAGCACCTTCTGAGTCACCCCCTATTTTCTCCTGTATTCCTGCATCAGAGGTCACAGGATCTTCAACCTTGATCACCTTTGTGACTTACAAGTTCTGTTTTCTTTCCAGGCTTCCAGCTGAACAATTACCTCTTGCAGCTAGTTGTCCTAAGGTATGCTGACGAGCAGTACCAACTTGACTTTGATGATTTCCTCAACTGTATGATCCGATTAGAGAATGCAAGCCGTGAGTATCCTTCTTGGCCAGTGTCCTTAGCATCACATAGGGCATGGTGCAGTCTAGGCTGTATCCAGCCCCAGTCTCCCTGCCGAGACATACTGCAATCACAAATAAGGGACAGAAACTGTTAAAATAAGTAGTGACAATTGCACCACCACAATAGCTGGCAGTTCATGTCTTTTAACAGATGTAGTTTAGTGATTATGTGGTACAGTGGAAAGCAGAGCTGGATTTGGAGTTAGAGGATCTGCGTTCAAATTTCACCTCTGTCTCTTTTATCTCATATGATCTTGGGGATGTCGACCTTTGGGGGCTTCTGGTTCCTCATCTATAAAAATAAAGGAATTTAGCTAGATAACCTTTGATGTCCCTTCTAGTCCTAAATCTATAACCCCAATTAGTGATTCTTAATGCAATGGATGAAAATGCGTATTCATTTGTAGTGATGCTACTGGATTTGAAAGATGTTACATTTAGGGGCAGCTAGGTGGCATAGTAGAGCACTGGCCCTGGAGTCAGGAGATTCTGAGTTCAAATGTGACCTCAGACTCTTACTAGCTATGTGGCCCTGGGCAAGTCACTTAACCCCAACTGACAAGGAAGGAAGGAAGGAAGGAAGGAAGGAAGGAAGGAAGGAAGGAAGGAAGGAAGGAAGATGTTAAATTTGTACAAACTGTAAAAATCTTAGGAGAGTGTCATGGTTTAGGTCAAAGTCCATTACAACTAATCCCGCTATAACAAAAATTTATTTTAATAAAATGATTTCTAAACCCCATTGATGAACTGCTTGTCTTGTGATGCTACATATACAGTATGTTCCTGACAAATATTCATTGCTCATAACTAAATATTTCCTTATGGAACAGGCTAGAATGTTATCTCTCATGATGACTCTCATGACCATGACTTAGAGTCATAAAGTTGGAAGGAACCTCATAGGTAATCTAGTCCAACCTCCTTATTTTGCAGAAAAGGAAACTAAGAGTACTGATGTCACTTGACTAAGTTCTCATGGCTACATAGTGGGAGAGCCGGAACCTGAACCAACATCTTCTAACTAAAAAGCCACTTCCCTTTCCACTTCACCCTGTGTTTGTATTTTACTTTCTCCACCATTTTAATAAAAAGCACTGGCTGTGTTTGGAGACTAATTAATGCTACATAATTGGTCATGACCTAAAAAAAGGCTCTAGGACTCATAAATTGTACCCTATAGAGACCTTGGCCCAATGACCTGCTATAGCCAAGAAAGGCCAACAAAATACTGTACATAATTAGGAAGGGTGTTGGAAACAAAGCAGGAGAGGTCTTCCTGCCTTTGGAAAAACCCATTAACATCTGCACATGGAATATTGCAAAAAGTTCTGATTATCATACACCAAGAAAGACACAGTAGAGCATGAGATAATGCAGAGAAAGACAACTAAAATGATTAAAGCAATGGAGTATCTTTTCTGTTAGGAAAGGACTCTCCATTCTGGTATAATAAAAGCTGAAGTCATAAAATAATGAAAGATGTGGTTAAAGGGAACACAACCTAATTTTTACCAAGTCCTCAAATAATATAATAGGAGTATTGCTTACAGTTTCAGGGTTTTAAGACAAATAGGAACAACTATAACTTTCCCTAACAGATGTCAAACTAATAGAACACCTTTTCCCAATCTATCCAAGAAAGTAAATTACTGAGAAGCATGCTGGTGAACATAGAAGTTGTTCTTCAAGTATATTTCTATCTACCTACAGTATTACCCTTTTCCACTCTAGATTTATTACAGCCTAAAGAACCAAGGCAAGATGTAAAAAGAAATAGATTCAAGAAATTTTTCAGTAAATAAAAAGTGTTCTGAGGTTTTTTTTAAATATTTATTATTTTGATGAGGCAATTGGGGTTAAGTGACTCGCCCAAGGTCACACAGCTACTAAGTGTCAAGTGTTTGAGTTCAGATTTGAACTCAGGTCCTCCTGACTCCAAGGCCTGAGCTTTATCCACTGTGCCACCTAGCTACCCCCTTGAATTTTTAATAAATACATAGCTGACAGATCCACAATGGCTTATTAAGGGAAACAAGGATGTTTGGAGATAAGTCTTCTGACCTCTAAGAATGACATGAAGGAGGACAACCCTGCCCTCCAAAAAAAATATTCCTTTGGGATCATATAGATTTCTGGATTTAAAAGAATATGACTCTGACTTAGAGATATGATGACCTGGGGGAAGGGGAGTGAAGCATAACATTTCAAGAAAAAACAAAACCAAAAATTACCCCCAATGACTTTCTGGAGCTACTTTCCCGGCTCAGAAAAAAAATTAAAATAATTTTCTAAAGTTTACAAAATATGTATTTCTCTGAACAAACCAAGTCTTAATGCATTTTCACATTCCTAACTAAGGTGACTTTAGATTTGTAAATGATACTAAATCAATCCAATAAGCAATAACACATATATTTTAACTTTACCCAAAACTTATATCAAATATTTTCTTCCATGGCCTTTAAAATTTCTGACTATTCTATACTTCTACTTTGTGGTTTCACAGGATCATAGATTTAAAGTTGGAAGGAGACACAGAGGCCATTCGGTTCAAATATCTGTTTACAAATGAGAAAATGAGGCCAAAATAGGTTTAATGACTTATCCAAGGTTAAATATGTAAGCAATAGAGTCAGGATTTAAACCCAGGTAGTTCCTGTGACTCCAAATTCAGCAGACACTTTCTACTATACCATATTCTTCCATTCTTACTCTATTTCTATGGGGAAAGTAGCTTCATTTTTTAGTTATCTGGTGAACTCTGATGCGAACTAATAAAAATACCTTTTAGCAGCCTTATGAGGGCTATTTGGAGGTCCAAGGACATATCAGTTATTTTTTTTCATGATTCTTCAAGGGAACATCCTATCACAGTAACATTTCCTATTAATGAAATTTTCTTGATCTTCATGTTCTCTTGCTCTGAATTGTTAGCTGCTATCTGGGTGACTTCCAAAACCAAAATTAATTTATCTCCAATTTACAATATAAACATTGTTGCTAGAAGAAAATAGGAAGAAACTGGGCCATTGTTTTTTTCATGTCCTCTCCTCAGCCGCAGTTACTTCAAATGAAAAGTTTCTTTGAAAGTCAAGATCTGGAGTTCCACCACTTGGTCTAGTGCAATTTTCTAAGAACTGGACAAAAATATGGAATTTTATGAAATCTGAAAGCATTCATTAATCAGTTACTAAAGTAAATGGAATAAAATAACATTCCAAGTAAGATGGTGTGTAGTAATGTTAGGAAGGCTATTTTAAAAGGGCCTCAAAGCTACTAAGGTGTGGTCATCTCCACTCTCAACTTTATCCATTAATCTTGAGTGATGAGATTCTGGCGAATGGATTCATGACCACTAGCTTTAATCACTGAATATGCATTGCCTCAGTCATACTGAGACCTGTTAAAGACCTTAGCTTAAAAAGGCCAAGGTCCCCCACTGCATCCAAGACCATCTCCAGTCATCCTGATCTATATCTCATCACTGGACCCAGATGGCTCCAGAGGAGAAAGTGAGGCTGGTGATTTTGCACAGCTGTCCCTCATTTAAATCCAATTCACTTGCATGTCATGACATTATCTCCCTGATGTCATAGTTCTCTTCAAGAACAAAGGATGAACAACAACATGACCCCCAACCTCACAGGAGACAGATTGGATTTGTAAACCAAAATGCTAGGTAATCTCCTAATGGGAGACATATGGCCCAAATAAGTAAACCCATTCAAGAAACCAAAGTATTCAATAAAAAAATTGCTTGGTGAGCATGAAATCAAAGAAAGGGAATTGGATGTTCTTAAAGTATATTTCCATCTGCCTGTAGTATTTCTTTTCTCCTCTCTGGACAGGTGTATTTCAGCCTAAATAACTGAAATTAGTCATCTAATTTCAGGGCACTATCATTATAGGTCTGTCTTGGAAACACTATGACAAATTCTGAATTGGACACGCTGTCCTTTTGCTAGGTTTCACATGGACCCAGATTTTTTGATTTCCACATTTCTATCTCATTAGAAGACCTTTACAATAACTCTCCCTTTTGGAACAGTTTCCTTTGTGTACCTTGCCAATGACCCGGTTCCTATTTGCCTTAGGAAGCATTCCCAGCCATCAGCTGATCCCTGCCTACAGTGTGTCCAAGTTTATCCACAGTATGCATGTTCCGATTAGCCACACAAATGGGGACCTCTTTCTGTCCTTTATATGATTTACCTTTCACCTAATCTCTGATGTCCATGCTAAGGTTTGGAGTCCCCTGACCTGTGACATGTGTACTAATGAATTAAATGATCCTACCTCCAGGGAATGGAAATAGTTGACTATAAATTCAGCTGTCTACCCAAGCAGCAAGTTTATCCTGAAAAGTTGCCAAATCCATGTTGGGTGTCAATGTTATTATGATAAACTGTTCCTTGCTCCCTATTTTCCCATACCTACTCTCTCAATCCCCTCATGTTCTCACAATTTCTTTCCAAAAGAAACAAAGGAAAAGTTATACATTTACACAGTGCAAAGATAAATATGACCCATTGTGTTTATTATGTGACCAGATCTTGCCCACAGAAAAATTGAGAAACAGGCAAAGTTTGACGTGGGCAGCCTGCCATCTTCCCTTTCAGTAACCCTTTTCCTCTCCCTGTCCTTGAGTGCTTATCTTGTCTCCCATTTCAGTCAGTCAACAAGCATTTATTAAGCACTTGTTATATGCCTGGAACTGTGTTAAGCACTGGGGATACAAAGAAAGGGAGATGGGGGGAGGGGGATGGAGAGAGAGAGAGAGAGAGAGCACCTCTGCTCTCAAGGAGCTTACAGTCTAATGGGGGAGACAACATGCAAACAACTATGAACTTAACAAGATGTTGTTCGTTGTTCAGTCATTTCAGACTCTGAGAGACCCCATGTGGAGTTTTCTTGGCAAAGACACTGGAGTGGTTTGCCACTTCTTTCTCTAGCTCATTTTACAGATGAGGGAATTGAGGCAGAGTTAAGTGACTTACCCAGGGTCATACATCTATTTGAACTCAAGAAGATAAGACTGCCTGGCTTTCTGTACTCTATCCACTATGCTACCTAGCTGGCCCAAACAAAATATGTAGAGAATAAGCTTTTGATAGTCGACAGATTATTGTTATTGCTTTCAAGAAGCTCTTATAACACTGGCAGAAATGTCAATTGATGATGTCTGAAGAACCTCTCTATGGTATTTGTCTTTTCACTGGGACAACTGAAAGACTGGAAACCTTCAAGAAATAAAGGAATAAATCTCAAGTGGTGGGATTTCAGGCCTGGTCCCAGGCAATGGAGGAGATATTTTGGAGTAGAACAAATCTGGCTGACACTCATATGACATAGGTGACTGCCTAGTTCAACCACTTGTAAGACTGCCCCATATGGAGCCAGTTTTGAGATTCAATGGGATTTCACTGGTTCAGAAGCATACCCCAGCACAATTCTAATTGTCCTATCCTGAAATTCGTTGGTCCATTTGGAGCATTTGACAGTGTCACTAGATGGTGCAATTCCCACAGAGTCTACTTGGGACATATTATAGCTGATTTTTGCATTTGAAAATGATTAGGAACCTTGAAGAATTGCCAGTAATCAAGCTTTCCTAATGTATCTCACTTCAGGGGTGTTCCAGGTTCTCAGTGAGAAGGACAAAGAATGTATTCAGCTCAATATAAATGAGGTATGACTATAGCCAAAATAGCCATGCAGAAATCTGTATTCTTGTCCTTTTTCCATTACCTTTTATTGTTCTTTTTCCTGTCATTGTTGATCCTCTTGTCTATCCCCATTATAATTTCCCATTCTTTCACTTGCTTATTCTTTCACATCAGAGACCTATAAAACAAACTGTCTACCCCGTGAAATTTAAAGAGAACCAAAGAAGTTTGGCTTCTTATCTCAGTGACCTAGTGATGGAGACAATCAGAGACATTCCCATGACTGGCAAAAAAGTTGGAGAAAAACACAAGCCCTTCTGATTCTGTGTCTTTCCTTTTATTCTCAGTTCATCAGTTTGGCGATGAATATTTGAAGCGGTCTCTCGTCCGGATGTGAGCTCTCACCATGCCATGCCCTTTGGTCCATGAACCAAAGAACTTTTCCTAGGTGGCACCCATGTGTCCAAGAAATGTGAATCAAGGTTCCCTCTTTAATAATCCCACTATCCCACCTGATGATTCTTCTTAGCTTGATCAAAAATGAATGTCATAGGCTCAGATATGTTTCTTGTCTAGAAATGAAGGATTATCAAACGGCTATTTGTGGTGGTGGAGGGAGGTGGCTTGCCCACAGAATAAGTTGTCTCTAGTAATCAGATGCACTTTGTTAAGGATGACTCAGGGCCCCAACTCAGATAACCCTTGACTTCACCAAATCCTTAATTATTTCCACCGCCCCTACCAATCCTGCCACTTTGTCATTGCTCACAAGTGACTGAAAATCATCCGACGAAAATCTAAAGATGTATGTGTACTTGTAATTAGATATGCCCTTGTAAATGTGTTTCATTCATGAGATAAAATATTAGGGCATTTATGACTGTCCATTTCTCATATCACAAAATCAAATGGTAATAGATGTGTATCAAATAGCTTAGAACCACAACTCTGGGAACACAAAGACTGGGTTCAATCTGCAGAGTTTTTCAGTAATAACTCAGTAATTTCTATGGCTCACTTTATCTCTATTCCTGGAAACATCTGCATTTGGCTTTCTACTAGGGAGCTTAGTTCCCTCTTAAAGTGTCAGGCTAATAAGCCCCTAACCATAGAACAGGTTTACTCAGAGGTATACAAAACAGACCCAGTTCATGCTTTTTCCTTTCTCCCCAGTCCCTACAAACTCACAGCACCAACCACATTGTTATTGAAGCCCCTTCTGCCAGCTGCCCTCCTCCAGTCAGCTTCCCTCCTTCTGCCTGGGGTATGTGCTTCCTTATTAAGGTTTCTATCGACTTTATCCTAATTCCAAATCGCTGACTCCATTTTCTGTTGTCCAGACTGTCTCCTACACAGTCGCCTAATCATCATAAGTTTTATAGCTCCCAGCCTGTCCCTGGAACTCATTCAGTGCTCAAGTAGCTATTGCCTTTGCTAGTACCTTGATCCAGGGTATGTAGGGGGTGTTCAGGGAGGAATAGCTGGGCGAGGGCTTGCTGAGCCCTTTTCAGGGCTGCTCATATGCCTTTGGTTTCCACCTTTCACTCAACTCTCATCTGTGGCTCCAAGAAGCTGTAGTATGCATGGCAGCCATACTCTGGTAAAACCATCTCTGCAGATGGGTTAAACTTCCCCCAGTGAAATGAATGGATAAGAATAGTTTGTTCCAATGGCTGTGAGTGTAGTTGAAGCAGGCGCTGTGGAGTGCTTAGAGCTTGGTCAGACATCAAAGACACCAAGGTCATCCACTAGGCACTGTGCCATCACTGTCATCATGAATTTTGTTGTGCCACTGAACTTCAATGATACTGGAAGAGTGAAGCTGATGGCTTTGTGTGACTCTGCCTCACTTAAACCAATTCACGTGCAAGTCAAGACATCACCCGTCACTGATCCTCTTCTAAAATGAAGGACAAACAATAACACCTTGATCCAGACACCCTGTCTATCTCATCACTTTTCCATCCAGAAACCCCTGTTCAGAGCTCTTCGTGTACATGAGCCCTAGATCCCACAAAAGGACAGGTATCATTTTGGATGAAACCTCAAACCAAAGATTTGAACTGCTAATTAAAGACACTAGAACACAGATTGTTTCTTAGTGATTTCTCTAACCCAGCTATCTTCTTCCCTAACTACTAAGCCATATATGATGTGACCCACTGAGGTTAGCAGCCTCAAACCACCATGGATGCAGGATGGGAGAAAGTAGGTCTAGTGAGAATAGCTCAGGGCTGAGGCTCCCAGGCAGAACTGGGAACAGGGATCCAGACTACTTAGTCACTCTCTCTAGAAGAAGCTTTTCTTGAGTGCTCTCAACCCTTCATCCTTCATCAACACCCAACTCCAGAGCACTTGAGAGGAATAATGCTATGACTATGACCATATCATTTTTTTCCTTCTTAGAAAAAAAGGGATTTCTGAAGTCCCTCTCAAAGAATTGATAACAAGTGCTTTGTATTAACTTCTTTGTTCTTTAAGTGATGGGATGTAAATTTAAAAGAACTATATTGTATCCTCCAGAGGGGACGTGTTATATAGCGGAAAGGGCACTAACCTTGGGTTCAAATCCTACCTTAGACACATATTAGCAGTAAGACCACGGATAAGTCATTTGACCTCTCTATGCCCCACTTTCCTCATCTGCAAAATGAGGGAGTGGGATTAGATGACCCACTAGGTCTTTTCCAGCTCTAAATCAATGACCTTTGGCAGAGCACTGGTTCCATTTAGATTATGAAGCCAGAACCAAGCAATATCCTGGGACTAAACTCCTTAGAGTTTACCCTTAACCTGAATTTCTGTCCCAATGCTGACATCCAGAGGCCAAGGATGGTTTTTCATCTATGTCAAGACAGTGGAATGTATTTGCCTGCCACAGCATAACATCCTATGTGTTAGTATGTGGAACCTGAAGATACACATGCTCTGCTACTCTTAAATGATTAGTGAATTGTCATGTTACCCTAGTGTTTTTCATGGTATCATGTGAACATAGGATATCACACCACACACATGTCTACACACATATGTATATACATATATGTGTATGTATATGTATATATATGTATATATACACAGCCTTAGATAATGCATATATCTTCCCCTATAGCATGTAACACTGGAAAAGGAAGTGGCAAACGGCTCCACTATCTTTGCCAAAAAAACCCCATGGTTGGTGTGATATGTCCTTGGGGTTACAAAGAGTCAGACACAACTGAACGATTGAACAACAAGAAAAACAATAGCATATGAGGTCCTTAAGGTCAGGAGCTATTCAATTTCTTAACCATTCCACTTATGTGTTCCATAACTATGTCTGAGCCTCTATCAATACAAAATTTCTACAGTTGGTTTTGAACTAAGGGAGTTTTATCTTCCCAACAACCCTAGGAGGTAAGTGCTCTTATCCTCATTTTTATAAATGAAGCGCCTGAGACAGATAGATGTTCAGTGACTAGCCCAAGGTCACACAGTAATGGCCTGGATTTGAACTGAGTCGGGAAGACCTAAATTCAAATCTGGCCTCAGACACTTACTAGCTTTGTGACCCTGGGCAAGTCACTTAACCCTGTTTACCTCAGTTTTCTCATCTAAAATGAGCTGGAGAAGGCAATAGCAAACTACTCCAGTATCTTTGCCAAGAAAACCCCAAATGGAGTCACAAAGAGTTGAACAAGACTGAAAAACAACTAAAAAAAACCAACTTCTTTGCTCCATTCACTGCACCCAGTTGCCTAGAACCATTAGTATGCGACATTCCTGACAAATGATCACCAAGCCTTTGCTACATGACCTTTAGTGAGAGGGAGCCATTAACTTCAAAGTAAGTCCACATTACTTTTAGACAGCTCTTATCATTGTATCTCAAAGTTTTTCATTTCAGGAAGCCTAAATCTGTCTTATTGTAACTTTCCATCCTTTGCTTATGGTTCTGGGGCCAGAGAGAACAAGTGTAATCCCTCTTGCACATGACAGTCCTTCAAATACTTAGAGACAGCAATCGTTTCCCCTCAAAGTCTTCTCTTCTCAGGCCGATCCCTGCCAGGGCCTGGAACCAATCCTCACATGGCATAGCATTGAGGCCTTTTGCCTTCCTGACCCCTTTTCTCAGGATGCTCTCCAATATGTTAGTGTCCTTCCTAAAATGTGGCTCGCTTAACTAAACAGATAATCTAGCTATGGTCTGAGGAAGGAAACAGTGTTTTAGAGTGGATCTCTGTGAAAAGATTGGAAGTGAAGATAAAGAATTAGGACTCATCTGTTGGGAGGTAATAATTAAACCCATGGTAGTAAATGAAGTCATCAGGGAAAAGAGAAGAGGAGAGGAAGGAAGAGAAGAGAAAAACACAAGGATAGAGGGAAATGACAGGGAAGGAGAGGGGAAGGAAGGGAATAGGGGGAAGGAAGAGGAGGGAAGGGGAGGGGAGAGAAGAGGGGGGAAAGAGAGGCAAGGGAAAGGGAGGAGAAGGAGATGCAAGGGGAGGGGAAAAAAAGGAAAGGGGAAGGGGATGGAGAAGGGAACGTGTATTTAAGCATATAGTATAGTAGAAAAAAAAATTCCTGACTCTGGAGTCAGAAGATCTGAGTTCAAATCTTGCCTCTAACACCACCTTTGTGATCTTAGATAAGTCATTTAACTTCCCTAATCTCTAAAATAAGGGGTCTTTGAGGTCCTCTCCAGATCTAAATCTAGTAGAATATGTGAATCAGCAGCCAACAGAGGAGTGGAGAGGATGAGGGGAAAAGAAATACCATGAGAATGCAACATCAAGAAAACCAAGAGAACAGAGAATATCAAAGAGTAAGTGCTCAATAGAACAGGAGGATAAGGTCAGGAAAAAAAAGGCGAGATATTTGGTGATAAGAGGCTCATGAGTGACCTTAGAGAGAGCTGTTTCAGTAGAATGATGCAGATAGAAGTCACATTACAAAGGCTGAAAATTAAGGGGGTGGCAAGGATATGAAACAGAGTATGGACTGCATTGTCTAAAAGTTTAGCCATGAAATGGAAGAATTAGGATGATTATAGAAGAAAGAACAGAATATTAACCTATTCAAAACTCAAGAAACCGCTGACCAAGGTGCCACTATATAAAAGAAATATTTACCTATCAGATGGAGATAATCCCAAAGGAGTGTGTGGTTTAGCAATGGGTAGCCAAATTCTGCCCATCGTAATTCCTTAAGCCATGAATCTTTCTCAGGTTGCTGAAGAATCCTAAGATCCCATTAGTTGCAAATGGACTCCAGGCCTATGTTTATTTGCCAGTTCTGATTTTACTTCCTTGTCTCTATAGGGCTTTGTCTAGTAGGGAGACACAGCTGGCAGAGTGGCAGATGCCAGAGATGGGCTTAGCTTGAGCATGTGACCCAGAGGCTTTATATGGTTCCAAGTCCTAACAGGGGGACCAAGGGCTTGATCACTGAAGAAAACAAAGCTGGCTTCTGCCTGAGAGCTGATCCCTGTGAGCTGGAGCTGAGAGCCACTGGCAAAGGACAGCGTGAAGGCTGTTGGCAGCTTCACTGTCTAGGCGGCTGTGGCTGAGTTGTAAATAAACAGCAGACAGAGTAAGCTTGCTCCTGATAGCTGTCTGGACCCTTTCCTCAACTCCAGAATTCCTCTCTAAAATAAAACAGTGATCAAAAACAAAGCAAAACTGTTTTCTCCTTGATAACATGATAGCTAAAATTGTGCCAGTGATGGTACTTGTGATCCACAAGGTTTACTTAACAGCGGGGAAACAAGAACTTACCTGCCCTGGGAAAGACCTCCCCAACCAGTACACAAAAGTGGGGAGGTGGGAGTGGAAAGAAGAGCTGTACAGAAGTTAGTTCTGGTTCTGCCACTACCAGAATTGTGCAACTAGGAGCGTCACCTCATTTCTCAGGGTCTCAGTCACCCCCTCTGTAAAAAAAGGCATCTGGACATCATAGCTCTTAGGGACCTTCTAGCTCCAACATTCTACACATTTTTGTCTAGCCCTCCACTATAGGAGGCCAGTCCTGGCTCAGGTTAAGACCAGAGTGGGTTCTTATTCAGCCTGTTCAAAGCCTAAATCTGGGGGATTAGTTTGTGGCAGCCCTAGCTGGTCCAGATGGTCCCTGGGAAATCAGCTAATTCCTTGACCAAGATCAAGATTTCTCTAGGATTGGATCAGAAGGATTAGAGTCCCATCTGGGTGATGTCTGGACCTGATCTAGTTTCTGGGGAATGCTTCATCCAAAGGGAAAATCTGGGGACAGGATAGAAAACCCAGGACAGCCCAGAACCAGATTAATCTTCTGGTTTGTGAGTGGGCTTGGGGAGGGAAGGGGCAACGGGTCACTCATTAGACATATGCTTGATGGTGTTTGACATTTTGTCAATTGTTGCACGGCAGTCTGCTACAGAGGACATACCTTTCAGATACCATAAATTTCAGGCATATAGAAGAGGCCTTGCTGAGCCAACGCATACTGTGGTAAAAGCCCTTGATAGAAAACAGGTGCATGACTCGTCTTCTGAACAAAAGAGTTATAGTACAATTCACAGACACCCAATGTGGAATTTAGTCAATGCAAAAATAAATAAATAAATAAAGAATTATAATAACAATTTCAAAGCAACATTCAGGCAACATAGAAATCTGGAAAAACCAGAAAACTTGGTGAGGTTACCTCAGGAGCACTGTCATCATATTTATTGATGGATACTATTTATTTCTTATTTTATTATTTAAAATTTCAGAATCTTTTTTTTAACAGACAGCATTACATATTATACATAGCTGATATTTCTTTTGAAAGTATTAGGTCACTAGATATAGAGAAATGAACTTCTCTTAGAAGTCAAAGAAATAAATCTGAACTACAATATTCCATAGTGTAGCTATGATCAAAGAATTTCAGGTTGGAAAATATTTTAGATTTAGTCCAGTCTTTTCATTTGAAAGAATAAGAGTTGGAAGCAAACTTAGAGATCCTAATGCAGAGTGGAAAGAGCCCTACAGTTGGAGTCAGAGGTCTTGGGTTCATATCCAGACTCTGTCACTTTTGGATCACACAGGTATGATGTTAGGCAAATCACAAACTCTCTCA